TGGGTTAGTAAGGTGGAGTGTGCAGCCATGGATGGTGATGCTGTCAGCGCCTGAGGTGTGGAGGAGCTGACGTGAGCCAATCAGGAGAGCCTCGGTCTTGTTGACGTTCAACTGAAGAAAATTAGCTCTCATCCAAGACTTGATGAATGAGAGAGGCTTGTAGAGTATGGAATCTTGCCCAACATTTCGCTCTGCCCGGGAATCGAACCCAGGTCCTCTCGCTTGCGAGTTGAGTGCTCTAACCAATACGCAAGCGGGAGGCGGTGCAAATACAGTGCTCCCAACCCAGCAATGCACTGGGAGCATCAGCCTAGACCGTGAGCTCAAAGTATTTTCCCATCTATTTGTTCTGTCTCCAGATCTGTAGCAGAGATCAGGTTGTTTCACTGTGAAATCTGCTGCTTTGAAAAGATTTGGACATTTACGGTGAACAAAAAAAAAAGAACTTGTGGCAGCTGAACTTGAAAAACATCCCTGCCAGTCAGCCGTAATGAACTGTTGTCAATAGCCTCCATTACCTGATGGGTTGTAAATCTCTATCGACAAAAGAATTCCTTTCAGTTTGATTAAAATTATGCAGGAACTACTGTACAGTACTGTCAGTGCCAATGAATGCTGATAGGAGTTGCCAAAACACTTGTAATATTAGCTTTACGAGAACTCGCCACTTCATTTAAATATGTTCTTTTATTGAGATTATCTTTTCTATTACTTTAATAATCTTTACATTTTATGCAGCACCTTTCATGGCAAGAGCAAGTCGAAAAAGCACTTAACAGCATTCAGCGTAAGGTGTAGTGACTGTATTTCGCAGGGTAACCCGGCAGCCAATTTGCGCACAGCCTTATACCACAAACAGCCATGATGTGAATGACCAATTTTATCTGGAGGTTTGTTGGCCAGGACACTGGGAGAAACTCCCTTAAGGTTGTATGTTCAAGCCCCAATTTGAGGCTAAGTCTAAGCTCACACTTAATATAGTGCTGGGTTTGCGTTGCATTGTTGGACGCGCCAATTATTGTTATTATTATTAATGACATTATCATTTCGAATAGTGCTGCGGGATCTTGAACATTTACCAGAGCAGGACCTTGGTTTTAACATCTCATCTAAACGATGACATCGCTGACAATGCTTATCTACGCCATCACTTGAATTACCTCATCCTACCTCTGTGACCTCCTCAAACTCTACCCTCCTGGCCTCTCCCCTTGATTAGTGGGCACTGAAATCCAGACCGCCAATTGTGGGGCTAGTGGAGCGGAGGACATGAAGCAGGCGGTCTGGATTTCAGCCTATCTGCCCCCACTTTCTGGACCTCCATGCCTGAATCGCTTCAACTCATCCCCTCCATCACCTCTTTCCAGTTCCGTCTCAAGACGGAATCCCTCCAAAAAACCAAAAACAATAATAAATTGGTCATTTTCAATCTACGACTGTTTGTGGGACATTGCTGTGCGCAATTGGCTGCTGCGTTCGCCCACAAATATACAGTCAATTCACTTTACAGTATATTCTGTGAAGCGCTTTGGGACGTCCTCCCGACGTGAAAAGCGCTATATCAAATGCAAGGATTATTATTATTATTATTAAGACCTTCCTCTTTGATTTAAAAAGTGTGATGTGTGTGTAATGGCAGGTAATTTTACACCGACAAAATTCCCCCACAATAATAATAATAATCCTTGCATTCGATACAGCACCTTATCACGTCATTGAGATGTCTCAAAGCGCTTCACAGAATAGACTGTAACGTGAATTGACTGTATATTTTGTGGGTGAAATTTGTATTAGGTTGTTTTGAAGTGTTAACCTAGATCCAGGGTTGGGAGTTCAAAGTCCTGCCGTGGGGTTTGAATCAACTGCTAACCGAGCCAGGCAAATAGGCTGACATCAGTGTTTGAGAGTTAAGATGGTTGGCGTATCTTGATGTCAGTGTACAATTGCACTGCAATTGTTGCTGGAACCATCAGTGATTTCCTTTTGATGAAATTTATACCTAAGTTGGCCCAAATGGCAGGAAAGTGACATTGAGCATGGTGCCATGGCCGGCATTTCATCCTGCCCTATAACAGCGTAGGTTGATGGATTATTTGCTGCTGAAACCAAAGCTGCCTGACACATAACAAAAGTTTGTCAGAAACTTATCTCCTAGAGCTCAGCGTCAAACACAAGTGGCAGCTGGAGAACAACCTTTCGTACTCTGCCTCGGGACCTGGGCAACCCTGGCACTTTTACCAATACTTAATACCCATCGAGCCCGTCACTGCATTGACTATTCACTGGTGGCTTGTTCGATGCATGGCGTCAGTTAATTAGCATGACATACATTGCAATTCCCGTCCCTGGGTTTCAAAGTGACCTTGACAGCTTAAACGTCCGCTATCATTCAAAGCTAGCCTTAAAGGACAGTCAAGTGCTTTCTACACAAAGGCTGAGGAACCCCAAATGTTGGGTTGCTGCTGGAGTTTAACCAAATAAAATTCAGAATTCATCCCATTGTAGGACATTGCTGTGTGCATAATTGGCTGCCATGTTTGCCCACAAAACACACTCCACTTTACAATATATCCTGTAAAGCGCTATGAGATGTCCTGACGATGTGAAAAACTGCTATGGAGACTGTACCAAAAAGGATTATTATTATACTGTACTTAAACCCTGCCTAGCGGGACTAATGGGGGCGTGGGGGGGGGGAGATCTGATTCTTTGAGCTGGAATCTGCGGCTAACTGTACTTACAATGCTGTGTTATTATAAAAACACATACTTTGCCATTGAGAGCACTGTCTTGCAAGCTTCCCGCTGCTGTCCATCCAAGGACCACCCTCCTCTGTCAGGGCTTTGGTTTAACAGGAGCTGAGCGGGAAGAGTCTGTACAAATAAAATCCTAAAGAATAACGAGGCTGGGTACCCTACAGTAATAATAATAATTCTTGCATTTGATATATAGTCTTATCGTGTCTTTGAGATGTCTCAAAGCGCTTCACAGATATGCTGTAAAGTTAATTGACTGTATCTTTTGTGGGCGAAACGGGGCAGTCAATTGGGGACAGGAGTGTCCTACAAACAGTCATCGATTGAATGACCAAAGCAATCTGCCAATCGACTAACAACCATGTTCCACCGTACTGCTAGGTAAACAGAAGCGTGTGGAATAAGGAAACTTGCCCTGCCCAGGAATCGAACCCAGGTCCTCTCACTTGCGAGGCGAGTGCTCTAACCAGGACTCCAGCACCTTTCTTGTTGAGAATACATCTGAAAGGGTTTCTGAGGACACAGCCAATTTGCACACAGCAATATTCCACAACTGTGAAGTGAAATGGCTCTCGCTTGTACCACTGAGCAACAGGACTCCGCAGTACTATGGAACTCACTTGGTTCCAAACCAGACTACCAATAGAGAGCGACAGAGAGTGACTCGAATCTGATACTCTGTAGCCCAGCACATCACCCTAACCTGTCAATTTACAACCACCACAAACTGCATTAAGAACCTGATCCTTAATCCTGTTTTTTTTTTGGTCACCCAGGTGTCTGACACGTGGAAGGAAAGCCATCACCGTGTTTAAGATTATTCAAACCAAACTGAGAATTCCACGCATCCCACCTACACATGGAAATCCCAGAGATAAATTGTTGGGATGGAATGCGCACTCTCTCCCTGGAGGGACACATCCCGCTTACCTAATTCTGGAAAGTATCAGGTGCAGATTGGCAAGAACCAAGGCTTGGGGACCCCAGAGTGTGCGTTTGTGTAACTACTGGTATCTAACCAACTAAAACCACATTGCTTACCGTTGATATCAATGTCTGGCAAGTTTTCCCACTGCTTGTCCAGCTAGGAGCATCCTATCCATGAGGGCTTTGGCTTGCAGGGGTACTAGGAGCTGAATGGGAGGATTCCCTGGTGCTAATGATTGGTCTGTCATTCCAAGTCCAACCAATGAGCCAGACTGGCCTTGCTGTCATCAACCAGAAAATTACATCTGTATAGCGCCTTTCACATCAGGAGGATGTGCCCTGGAGTACTGCAGACCCACCTAACTCTGGAACCGGACAAAATAATACAACAACAACAAGATTTCATTTATAGAGCGCCTTTCACATTCGGAGGACTTCTCAAGGCGTTGGTCAGTTGGATCGGGACCCGAGCAGGGGGGAAATGGTCAGGGAGGGAAGGGAGGGAGCGAGGATGGGGTAGAGAGTTGAGAGGGGAGCTGAAGGCACGGTCGAAGAGAAAGGTCTTGAGACCGGCCTTGAAAGAGGAAAGGGAGGAGGCGGCGAAGGCACTGGGGATGGAGTTCCAGAGCCTCGGGGCTGAGAGGCTGAAGGCCCGGCCACTGATGGTAGGGCGGTTGGGGCGGGGGATGAGGAGAAGACCGGAGCCAGAGGAACGGAGGGTACGGGCAAGAAGGGAGGGGGATAGTAGGTCGGAGTGGTAGGAAGGAGCGAGGTAATAATGTAATAATAATGTAATATAATAACCCTTGCATTTGATACAGCGCTTCATCACATAGTTGAGTGCTTCACAGAATATATGGTGAAGTAAATTGACTGTGTATTTTATGAGCATAATGCGGCAGCCAATTGCTCACAGCAGTGTCCTATATATAGTCGTGGATTCAGTGACTAAATTTGTATTTGGGGGAAGGGATTATTACCTCCGGAAAGTGAGCGAATAAGGAAATTTCCCTAAGGTTTAGTCCCACCGGGGAATCGAACTGGGGTCCTCTCGCTTGCGAGGCGAGCGCACTAACTGTACTACGGGACTCTACATGTGTGTAAAATGTAAAGAAGCTGGTGAAACAAACATGTAGACAAAAAGTTTATTTACACCATACAACAGTTTAAATATTTTATACACGGGTTGCAGCCAAGAAAGCTATTTTGAGCTTTCGAGTGAAAACTGCAATAATAAAGATGTGAAATATATTATTCATATAAAAGTGAGAGTATTACCTTATTGCATTTAAAGCAATGAAGAAACATAGCTCAACAACCATTCATTTAAATGACAGAAAACTGTTTGCTTTTTTTATATTATAAAGTAAAAAGTGTAGTAATGGCCAAACAGACTGTTATAAATCTTAAAAACTGCATAAATATATACATTGTGCTTCATGGCGAAGTTTTGTTCTAAAACTAAACCAAATGAAGCTATAACATGTATCTTTGCTCGAGGTTTATCTATAAAGATTACCTTACAAATTCATTCCACATTGAACGTACAACACATGATGGTAATAATTGTACATCTCGTATTATTCTCACTAAATACAGTAGCGAGAAATGTTAAAGACATTGACATCTTATCTCCCAGTGTGTAAACGTCTTCTATATTACTCTACGAGTCCAGACATTTAGGCCGGGGTTTCAGCAATTTTTCGAAGTGCCAGTGCGAGAGAATTTACTTTGTGATTCGTAAGAACTTTAAACCTCAGTTTGAAAATCCCCTTCCTGCACGTCTAAGGGCATGGACATACACTTTTCCCACTCGGTCTGTCTTAATTCCAATGCCTCCTTCGCCTCTGTATCCAATACATTCATCGGTGAATAATGTTGGTAATCGCTAGGGTTCTTGTAAGCTTCCCATTGATGCTTGCTTGGCGTCTGCTTCTCCTGTCGGAGTAAATAAACAAGTAAAGAAACAAACAAACCAATAATAATAATCCTTGCATTTGATATACAGCGTTCTTACGTTTCAAGACATCTCAAAGCGCTTCACAGAATAAATATACTGTAAGAGAAATTAACTGTATGTTTTGTAGTATAAACGTGGCAGCCAATTGCGCACAGCAATGTCCCACAACCAGTCGTGGTTTGAGTGACCAATAAATACACATTCGTTACATTTAGTATAGCGCCTTCCAGGAGGACGTCTCAAAGCGCTTTTAAAAAGGATTTAAAAAGTGTGGTGAGTGATTTTGAATGGTGTCCGTGCGTGGTCTGACATTCAGCGCGTCTAGAGCATGCCAGTGTAACAAAAAAGTGTATCAAACAGTTAAGAGCAGAAAAAGGAATGAATGAGGAGAGAATGCACCTGTGAGAAGCATGGGTTGAATTTTACACTTACGCTCCCGCCCCCCCTCTCAAAACCCGTCGTTGAGACGCTCCACGTTTTATCACTCTACGAAGAGAGAAAATAAATGACTCATAATAATAGCAACAAGTTTTGCCTCTCGCGCTGGGCATTGCAGTACAATACAATTTACACTTCACACAAATGTAAAATCATAACAATCCTTGCATTTGAAACAGCGCCTTATCAAGTCAAAGAGCTTCACAGAATAAATTGTAAAGTGGATCGACTGTGTATATTGTGGGCAAAATGTGGCAGCCAATAAAAATAATAATAATATAATAAACGTTGAGTGCCTTTCACAGCAGGGAGATATCTCAAAGGGCTTGAGAATTCCTATGACACAGAGACATCTCAAGTCACAGGTATTGCCTGTAAAGTGTTGTGACTGCATTTGTAGGTGAACCTCGGCAGCCAATTTGCACACATCAATGTCCTTGCAAACAGCCGAGAAGAGAACGACTAATTTTATTTCAGATTTATTGTCGACATCCTGAGAAACTCCCTTTAATCTTGGAATAATGCCAAAGGGATGTTTAATGTCCACCTGAACAGGGGCCTTGGTTTAACACTTCCCCCAATGAACCAGGGGTAGATCTAGGGTTGAAGGATTGGGGGCACGAGGTGGGGGGGGGGGGGTCAAGGCTCATCATCAACAACACATTTATATAGTGGCTTTCACTTTGGGAGGACATCCCAAGGCATTGGACAATGAGGGGTTTGCAGCCGACTTGTTGGGATGAGAGAGCAAGTGAGGTGAAGGAGGGAAGATGACCAAAGGTATGATCGAAAAGGAAGGTCTTAAGACGGGTTTGAAGGAGGCAAGGGAGGGATTGAGGCAGAGGGACTCAGGGATGGAGTTCCAGAGGGAGCAGAAAAGGTGAAGGCCTGACTGCCAATAGTGGAGCAGGCAACGACGAGGTATGTGGAGCAGGTCAAGTGTCTCCAGAGTGGAGGGAGCGGACGGCTTGGTGAAGTTTTAGTACGTTGCAGAGATAGGGAGGAGCAAGGTTGTGGTGGGCTTTAAAGGTGGGGATAAGGATCTTGAATGCGATCTTCTGGGTGATGGGGAGTCAGTGAAGCCAGGCGAGGGTGGGGGTCCTCAGCTCAGAAAAGTTTTGCGCAGGCCCTCTCTCCTCCTTCTCCCTGTTCTGTGTTCAAACCTGCCACCATGCAGCGCTCCGAGACACTATCCCCACCTGAAGTTCGCTGTGTAAATGCAAGTTGTTGTTGTGGTTGTTGTTGGTTGTACAGTGTGATGTTGACAGTCAGGCCTGCCGGGTGCGGTACTTACAATGCTGCCCGTATTTGGTGGATCGCGGAAACGATCCAAAGTCTGAAATTTTTGATTTAGTTCCTGAAACAGCTCCATGTGTCGCTTCCTTGTGTGCATGACTTTCTGTAAGACCAAACGGGACACGGAGTGAGACCAAAGTCCTCTCACAGAGCTGTGCACCCGAGCTCTCATTACACACAACAACCGGGTAGGAGAATGCAACAGACAATTTGCGCACAGCAGTGTCTCACAAACCGCCATGAAGCGAACGACTAATTTTATTTGGGGGTTTGTTGGCCAGGATACTGAGAGAAAGGAACTCCCTTCTCTTTGCCATGGGATCCCCCTGAACAATCAGCCTTGGTTTAACATCTCATTTGAAGGATGGCATGACCGACAATGATACTTTCCAGTTACTGCATTGGAGTATCAGCCCCAACTGTGAGCTCCAAATCCAGATGTGGAGCTTGAACCTACAAAGTTTTGGCACAGAGGCGGGCAAGAATGTTACCAGATGAGCAACCCAGAAACTAACTACTCTTTGATGGGAGTCAACACAAAGTGACATGAATTATGTCAATATCTCTGCAACAGTCGGGAACAAACTGATGGAAGTTCGAATCAATAGTTTGACCTCACCCGGAGGAAGGTAACATACAAGGTTTTCGATTTCAGTTAATTGGACATAATTTAATAATGTAACAATAATAATCATTGTGTTGATACAGTGCCAAATCACTCAATTGAGCCGACCCAATGCGCTTCACAGGATATACTGTTTAATAATAATAATAATAATCCTTGCATTTGATATGGCGCTTTTCACGTCGGGAGGACGTCCCAAAGCGCTTCACAGAACACACTGTAAAGTGAATTGACTGTATATTTGTGGGCGAACGCAGCAGCCAATTGCGCACAGCAATGTCCCACAAACAGTCGTAAATTGAAAATGACCAATTTATTATTGTTTTGGGTTTTGGAGGGATTATTATTAGGTGTGTGGAGTAAGGAAACTTGCCCAAGGTTTCGCCCTCTGCCTGGAATTGAACTCGGGTCTCTCGCTTGCAAAGCGAGTGCTCTAACCACTGAGCTACAGGACTCCACACTGTGAAGGGCTTTGAGACATCTCAATGACGTGATAAGCTGCTATATCAAATGCAAGGATTTTTATTATTATTATACTGTAAAGTGCAGCGACTGTGTATTTTGTAGGGGAATGTGTGGAGCACACTTGCACACAGCAAAGTCGAGTAAACAGCCACTGGAGTGAGCGGGCTGGACAATTGGGGTAAAATCTGCAACATTTCACAGAAGATTCAATATGATAACTGTGGAACATGGAATTGTGGAACGTTTCCATCCATTCCTAGAGAGTGATGTGGAATTGGATCCCCAATTTTCCTTGTTTCCCCCGCTTTCCCCTCATCTCCCTCCTCCCCTCCAGTGATTTTGTGAATGAGGAACTTGAGACGGGGGGAGAGAGCAAGGTGGAGGGGCTCGGGGATGGAGTTCCAGAGAGCGAGGGCAGAATGGCTGAAAGCCTGCCCACGAGATGGTGGGGCGGGGAAGCGTGATGCAGGACAGTGGCTGGATCGGTCGGTCGGGATGCGGGAGAGAAGGGGTGGGGCGCGAGAGAGCGTGTCGGGATTTGAGGAAGAGATCGGAATCATCGCGATGATCTGTTTCTTCCATCAGTAAACGGCTCAGCGAGGTCACTATTTGAGGAAGTTAACATCCCTGGCAGATGCCTCGCTGACAGACTGGGACAAGGTCAGAAACAGGAAGTCAGACTTACTTCGAAATCCAGGTCTTGATAGCGGGATTTTCTTCTCTGTGAAAACAGTGAAGAAATGAACAACATTGCGATTATAATCATCCTTGCACTTAACCCTGCGCCCGAAACTTCGAACCATTTCATAGCGCTTCATTTGTGGCAGCAAATTTTCACACAGCAACGTCCACCAAAACAGCAGTGAAGTGACCGATCGATTTTATATGTGGGGTTGGGGGAGATTGTTGGCTAGGACAGCAGGAGAAGCTCCCTTCTCTTTTCAAAGAGCGCTACAAGCTCTCTAACATCCGCCTGAACAGAAAGACGGGACCTCGGTTTCATGTCTTACCCAAAGTTCGGCACCTCTGACAATACAGCACATCCCCAGCACTGCATTGGAGTGTCAGCGTGGATTGCGAGTTGAAAGCCCCAAATTGGGGATTGAACCCACAAACTTCTAACTCAAGGATGATAAGTTAGTACTGTATATAACAACCTTCACTCTTTTTATAAGAGTCCTTGAATTTGGTGGCGTGCTCTTTCCTTCAAAATGTCTAAAAATGCTCCACAAAAAATTATTGTCAAGTGTATTGACTGCTTTTGCACCTGATCGTCATATATTTTACTTTTCTATTTATGGAAAGCAAAACACATACAATATTTACAGCATCGAAAAATGCTTCATATCTATGACTGTCACAGGTAGTGACCATGTTTTGTAGGCAAATGTGGCAGTCATTTTGTGCACAGCACAGTCCCACAAACAATTGTAGATGATATATAATACACTACAATTTACATTTGCAGTTAGCGCATTTCACGTTGTGAGGACGTGTCAAAGTTCTTCACAGTGCTGGGTGGGCACCTGAGCCTGGGATGGGAGCTGAGGAGGGTGGGGGAGGGGAAAGATGACTTAAAGTGTGGTCAAAGAGTTATGTTTGGAGAGTGCGTTTAGGTATGTTTTATAACACGAACTTTCCAGCACTCAAAAAAGATCATTGGACCTATCTAGTCCATGCCAGTGTTTATACTCCAATCCTATTCCCAATTCGCCCCAACATACACAGTCAATCCACTTTACAGTATATTCTGTGAAGTGCTTTGAGATGACTCAACGACATGATGAGGCGCAGTATCAAATGCAATGATTATTATTATTATTCCCCTCTTCTATGCCCCACTATTCCCTTCTCTCTCATGTACGTATCAAATTTTCTCTTATAAATATGCTGATGTTTTTTGCTTCAACCACAGCTTCCTGCAGTAAGTTCCACATTCTCACTACTCTCTACTTAAAGAGGTTCTTCCTAAACTCCCTATTAGATCTGTTACTGGCTACCATATATTTACGCCTTATAGTTTTGGACTCATGAACAAGTTTGATTTGAAAAGATGGTGAACAAGACCACCTTATCAAATCCTATCACAATATTAAACACCTCTATCAGGACTGCTCTTCAAAAGAGCCAGCACAAGCACGATAGGTCAAAATGGCCTTCTTGTGTGCTGCAAATCTAATGTTCTTGGTCCCTTCTCAATCGCCTCAACTCCAGAGAGAAAGTCATAGGAATTGTCATTCAAAGATAGACCAGGATCCATCTAGTTCCTCCTTCTACCATCCTGGTCGTCGCATGCTACAATAATGGAGATGTTGACAGCAATTAATTCTGTATGGAATAGTCTACAACAGAGCGGAAAGCTTTGGGAATCTTAGATCCATAGTTGCCTGGTTCTTCCAAACATACTACACTATGTCATGTGTAAAATTACTCACATACTGTATCCCAAAATATTATTTTGTAAAATAAATCTATCTAACTTGTATTTGTATGAATTGACACTATCTGCTTCCACACCACCCTAGGGAAATTTATGTTTCCATAGATTTATTGCCTCTCTCACTGAAATAATGTTTCCGCAGATTTCTCCAAACTGTCCAATCTTTCTGCATCCCCTCACCTCCGGTAACATCTCTGGAAACCTGTGATGGGAATGATAGGTTCATCTGGAGGCAATGTTGGCCAGAACAGTCAGGAGAAATTTCTTTCCTAGTTGGAATCATGCCATAGGATCTTTAGAACAGACCATAACAGACACACGAAGCCTGGGATTCAATATCTCATGCACAGGTTGCATCTCCGATTGTGTACAACAATGGCCCACAAATAGCCATAAAACGAATGATCAATTTTATTTGTGGGATTGTTGGCCAGGACACCCGGAGAAACTCCCTTTTCTTTTTGAATAGAGCCATGGCCAGTGGAGTCTTGTAGCTCAGTGGTTAGAGCACTCGCTTTGCAAGTGAGAGCCCTGAGTTCAATTCCAGACAGGGCGAAACCTTGGGCAAGTTTCCTTACTCCACACAGAGCCTAATAATAATCCCTCCAAAACCAAAAACAATAATAAATTGTTCATTTTCAATCCACGACTGTTTGTGGCACATTGCTGTGCGCAATTGGCTGCCGCGTTCGCCCACAAATATACAGTCAATTCACTTTACAGTGTGTTCTGTGAAGCGCTTTGGGATGTCCTTCCGACGTGAAAAGCACTATATCAAATGCAAGGATTATTTTATTATTATGGCATTATCAACAACAAGTTTCATTTATATAACGCCCTTTATGCAGGGCAGAATCTCGGAGCGCTTAACAGAGGCAGAGTCTGAGGCCGACTTCGTTGAAGGAGGGGAGGTGGACGTAGGCACGGTCAAAGAGGAAGGTCTTCAGGTGCGATCTGAAGACAGACAAGAAAGGAGCAAGGTGGAGGGATTGAGGTGGGGAGTTCCAGAGTCTCGGGATTTTAGTGGCTGAAAGCACAGTCGTGAGTGGTGGAGGGGAGGGAACGAGAGGCGTGTAGAAGGCTGGAGCAGGCAGAGCGAAGGTGGCTGATAGAGGACTGGGGTGTGAGCGCTCACTGCTCATAATGATGATACTCATTGTTTGTAGAATGAGTATCATTGTATAAAGTGTCTTTCCTTCATTTTCCACCCTTTACTGAGTATGAGCGGAATCCTGTCTGCCTGCAGCTCAGTGGTGGGGAATCATAAATTGTCCCCAATGTCTCCTAGAGGCAGGCTGTTAAAATGGTAATAATCACTAAGACGACATTTTAATACGATCTCAATACCAAGGCTTGTCTTCAGTGGGTTTTATTAACCCTATTTACCAAAAATATCGGCTCAGTCCAATATTCGCTGGCAGTGAGTCCCCAGGGCACCTGCTGTTAGCTGATACCGGTGTTATTGAAAGCACCGCATGGAGTCACAGAGATTAACTGAGGGCAAACAATGAGCTTTATAAAGTGCTGCGGTGTATTTGTTACGCAGAAAAAGAAACACAGAACCACAAGCATCTCCGACAGCCATATTCACAGTCGGGGTAAAAGCCAATAATAATCCTCGCACTTGATACAGTGTCAGGAGGATAGTGTCTCAAAGGAAATGCTTCACAGGATTTACCCGTCAAGTGTAGTGTGCGTGTATTTTGTAGGCGAATGTGGTAGCTAATTTGCGCACAGGAATGTCCCACAAACAGCCATGAAGTGAATGACTTAATATGATCTGCCTTATCCACATCATTTTACAAACGCCAGGCAATGCAAAGCTCTCCGTCAGTCCCCAACTGAGGCTAACCCTCTTTCACATGGTCCTTTCAGTCCCAAACTGTGACTGAGCCCAGAGGAAGGTGACCGACCGGTAAATATTGTTATCTGCTGACTTGTGGCACTGCTCTCAACCTAATCACAGGAGATACCAGCCCGCAGCACCAAATTAATTGGAGCTTTCATGCAAAATCTTTGGCGTTAATTGTGTGAAAGGCACTGTTAAGGTCAGACACAGGGAGAGGAGAGCAAGGAGAATTCACTGCCAATGCAATCAATGCAAGCTTCACCCACCCACCCACATCACATATAGTCATTGGGCTTTACAGCAATGATAATGATAATAATCACAGGAAATATAGCGCCTTATCATCTCATTGAGATGCCTCAAAGCACTTCACAGAACATACTATAAAGTGGATTAACTGTGTATTTGGTGGGCGAAATGCGGCAGCTAATTGCGAACAGCAGTGTCCCACCAACAATCGAGGATTGAGTGACTGAATTATATATATATATATTTTAAGGGATTATTATCCCCAGAAAGCAATCCACCAATCAATTAACAATCTGGTTCCTCCTTACTGCTTGGTAAACAGAGGCTTGCGGAGTGTGGAGTAAGGAAACTTGTGTAAGGGTTTCGCCCCACCCAGGAATCGAACACGGGTTCTCTCACGTGCGAGATTGAGTGCTCTAACCAATATGCTACATGTCTCCACAGTATATCCCGTGAAGCTCTTTCAGATATCCTCCTGATGTGAAAAGCTGCACCAAATGTAATGATTATTATTATAATAAACTACTTGAACAGAAGATTACTCTGCGGCAACTAAACAAACTGCAGTTCTGAGCTTTGAGACGTCCTCCCGACATGAAAGGCTCTGTATCAAATAGAGGGATTATTATTATTATACACTGTAAAGTGTAGTGAATGTATTTTGTAGGCAAACACAGACTGCACAGCTCACAAAGTCTTTCAGCCAGCCAGTGTTCTGGAGCTGTCTATCACAGTACCAGTTCAATGTCCATAGCTGTTGTACAATATTATTATTAATCCTTGCTTTTAATATAGCGACTATAACATCATTGAAACTTCACAGCACAACAACAACAGCTCACATTCATATAGCATCCCTCATGCAGGGTACTGTAAAGTTGAATGACTGCATTTAATGGGCAAACGCAGTAGCCAAATTGCACACAGCAAAATCCCACAAACAGCCCTGAAGTGAGTAATAATAATAATAGCATTCCTTGCATTTGATATAACGCCTTATCATGTTTTCGCTATGTCTCAAAGCGCTTCACAGGATACACTGTAAAGTGTAGTGACTGTGTCTTTTGTGGGCAAAATTCGGCAGCCAAATACACACAATGACGTGGATTGAGTGACCACATTATTATTATTTTAGAGGGACTATTACCACCGGAAAAACGATCTGCCAATTGACTACCAAGCGGGTTCCTACTTACTGCTAGGTAAACAGAGGCGTGTGTGTGTGTGTGCCTAAGGTTTTGCCCTGTCCTGTCCTGCCCGGGAATCAAACCCAGGTCCTCTGAGAATAAGGAGGATCTTTAACGTCCACCTGAACAGTCAGCAGCCTCAGTTTAACATCTCGTCCGAAGGACGGCACCTCCAACAAAGCAGCGCCCCCCAGCACTGCACTGGAGTGTCAGCATAGCTCCAAGCCGACATGGGCTTCAAACCCAAGACCTTCTGACTCAGAAAGAAGAGCTACCAACTGAGCCAGTTTGACACATCACAGGCTTAAAGGCAGTCTGCGTGCATTTATGAATCACCAGCTTCAAATGTATACTAAAGATTAGAGGTGTGGTGGGGGGGGGTAGAAAGGTAATTACAGCCTCATTCATAAAGCAATGAGTCAGAGAGAGCACCAGGCGAGTGGAAAAAGGAAACAGCAGCCATGTTAAACTGTGGGCCGGAATTAAGGAAAATGCTCAACTCGCTCGCTCCCTCGCTCTATCGCTCCCTCTCTCCCTCCCTCCCTCCCTCCCTCCCACCCTCTCTCCCTCCCTCCCTCCCTCGCTCCCTCCCTCCCTCCTACTCTCCCTCGCTCACAGGAGGGCAATAGAGATGGATACAGAGACCCAGATGTGCCTTTCTGCGGTGCAGAAATCGATCATTACATTCTAATATAAAAATCTCATAAAGAGACATTAGTTCCAATTTATCTTCCCCGTTGCCTTGGCAACCTTTCCCGTAACGCGTGGGATATGACTGGAATAGGGTTACTAGGACGACTGGCACAGGGTTACCACGACAACTGGGTTGGAGTTACCAGGACGACTGGGATGGAGTTATCAAGAAGAGTGGATGAGGCCAGAGAGAGTGATAAGGCAAGGAAACATGCCATTCAGTCCGGTCCGTGATAGTACCAACTAGTCGGTGACAGTGCTTATACTCCACATGAGCCCCCACTATTCCCCTCACCTTTATCCCTCCCTCTATTGCTTGCGTAATTTTCAAATACAATACGGGACAACTTTAAGACAGCATCTTTCACGTCCGGAGGGCTTTTCAATGTTGACTAGGCAGCCGAGCTGGGGGTGGGAGCAGAGGCATGTGGGGAGGGGAAGGATGACCGAAAGCACGGTCAAAGATTAAGGTCTTGAGATGTGCTTTGAAAGAGGGGAGAGAGGGAGCGAGTCGGAATGACTCTGGGATGATACAAGTAAAACAATGCTAAATTATAGTGTTGCGCATCTAAGCTGCTGAGCATTTGATTCTCTTCACAATTATACCAATGCGTATAGATAAGATTAGGGCATCTAACACCACTATGGTTTTATGACATACAGCCTGTCATCAACAACAACAACAAGGTTCCATTTATAGAGCGCCTTTCACGTTGGGAGGACGTCCCAAGGCGCTGGACAGTTGGGTCAGGACCCGAGCAGGGGGGAAACGGTCAGGGTGAGGGGAGGGAAGGGAGGATCAATATAGATCATAACAGGCTGTTTCAACTTGTCCAGAATAGTAGAACCAGAGGACATAGCCTACGATTGGTGGAAGGCGAACTAGATGGACCTTGGTCTTTTTTCGTTTAGCATTTCTTATGTTCTTATATTCTATTAATACTACTTTGCTCCTTTTCTCTACACCACTAAACACCCTTACTTTTCAAATACCTATCCTTCTCCCTTTTCAACATCTCAATTCAAACTTGGATAAACTCCCTCCTATTCCTATATTCAGGTCATTAACATATAGAGGGTAAATTATCCACACTTTGTGGTGTGTTCATTTTGATAATTATTATAACAATAATCCTCGCATTTGATATAGCATCAAGCTCTCAAGCACTGAGAGCATCACCATCCATGGATGCACACTTCACCTTACTAAACCAGTCTGGAAACTTGACATCTTGTTTGACCCTCAACTATCCTTTCTACACCACATCCATGCCATGACCTGCTCTGGCTTCTCCACCTCTGCAACATTGCCTGGCTCTGCCACTGTCTCACACCGCAGGCCGCCAAAACCTTCATACACACATTCATTACATCGAGGCTCGACGATGCAAACTTCCTGCTTGTCGGCCTCCCCAACTGCTCCATCCACAGGCTACAGATCATCCAGAACTCTGCAGCCCGTGTCATCTCCTGCACTAGGCTCCGTGACCCTATCACCCCATCCTTGCCTGACTCCACTGTAAACTCTATGAAGCGAGTGGCCTATTTTATTTGGGGAACTCTTGTCCAGGACATCGGAATAAATTCCTTTCTCTTTTTGAATAGTGCCAAGGGATCTTTAAAATCCACCCAGACTGGCAGGCGGGAGCTTGGTTTAATGTTTTACCTGAAGAACGACCCTTCCCACAAGCGGCAGACCCCCCGGCACTGCACTGGAGTGTCAGCCTTGACCGTAAGAGTTCAAAGTACTCGTGTGGGGCATGAACCCACAACCTTCTGACTCAGAGGTGAGAGTGCTACCAACTGAGCTAGACAGACACACAGCCGGGTCAGGAAATGACACTAGTTTCACCCCAAACGTGAAAAGCCGGGGTTCCCGCCAGCGATCCCTGTGGGCCGGCAGCTGTCACTTCCAGGCAGGAATGGGAGGAATATTCCCGAATCGGAAATAATTCTTCCATTTCCCCAACTCAAATTGGTCACTTACTTCCTGGCTGGCAAAGTGGCTGCCGTGTTCACCTACAAAATACACTACATTAATACGCTTAACAATGAAGCACTTTGAGACATCTTTCCAATGTGTCTAGGCTCCCATATCAACAACAACAACAGCAAAATTACATTTGCATAACGTCTTTCACATCAGGAGGACGTTCCAAGGAGCCTGACTATCGGTGGCCAGACATTCAGTCTTTCTGCTCCCACCCTCTGGAACTCCATCCCGGAGCCCCTTCATCTCGCCCCTCCTTTGCCGCCTTCAAGGCCCATCTCAAGACCTTCCTTTTCGATCGTGCCTTTGGTCATCTTCCCACCTCCACCCCCCTTGCCCTCCACCCTTCTCTGATCCCCAGCCCGCAGGTCGGGTGCAACCCCTCATTGTCCAGCAACTTGTGACGTCCTGATGTGAAGGACACTATGTAAATACAATGCGTTGTTGTTGTGAAAGGCCATATCAAATGTAAGGATTGTTATCATCTACTCGTTACTGAAAGTGGGTGGAAATTGGCCTGCAGACTGGCTTAACGGCCGAGACATTGGTCGGAGAGATCTGCTGCCTCTCAACCGATGTTCTAGCCATTGCACGAGACAGCAGGTGAACTTCACGTGCCTTCGGCTTTGAGCCAGCAAAGATGGTCTTCCCCCCCTAGTGTGCGCCTACTTTGCCGAGCGAGGAGCCCACTCACCTCTAGAGAGCTCATGGAGACCGTGGAGCCCGTTTCGCTCCTCGACAGTCCTGCGTTGTTTTCATCGAGCTCCGAGACCAGGAAGTTCTTAACGCTGGATCGCGACTCGAAGGGGATGTTCTGCTTGTGTTCCTGTGTGCCGAGGTGCTGGTCGAGATTGAAGCTGATGTGATCCAGCACGGGGCCGCTCGTGTTAAACTTGGGATTGACCTTAAAGTGCAGCAGCCTGTCGTGGGGCAAGCCCTCCACCCCGATGTTGAGCTTGCTCTCGTCGATGGGCGAGGGCTGGAGGCTGGCCGAGCCCCGGGGCATCACAATATAGTCGCTCTCCATCATCCTCTCTTGGGCCTGGGTTACTTCGGAGTCGCCCGCTCTCAGGTTGTCGTCGGTGCGCAGATAAACCGTCCGGCGCAAATCGCTGTTGGTGTCCTTTTTCGGGCACTGCTCGGTCAGCTCGTTCATGCCGATGGGCACGTGCATGCTCGGGGGCTGCTGGATCAGCACCTTTGAGATGATGTTGCCGGGTAAGGTGGAGAAGTTCAGCCGCTCGGGGCTGTTGCCTGTCTCGTCCTCCTCGTCGTTGAGGGAGATGCGAGACAGTGTGCCGGTGATGGTAGCCGCCCTGCAGCTGCCGATGTCCTTGTGGAGGACTGCGGAGGAGGGAGGAAACCGTAATTAAAACCGGGCGCAGTGTAACGATAGTGGCTTTCAAACCGGCGGGCGGCTCGGTAACCAGAGGGGAAAACTTTTTTTACGCAGAGAATTGTTACGGTCTGGATCGCACAGCCTGAAAGGGTGATGGAAGCAGATTCGATAGTAACTTTTAAAAAGGAATTAGATAAGCACTTGATAAGCAAAAAAAAAAAAATTGCAAGGTTTTGGGGTGGGGGAAGAGCAGGGGAGTGAGGCTAGTTGGTAGCTCTTTTAACGAGCCAGCACAGGCACGATGGGCTGAATGGCCTCCTTCTGTGCAGTAGGATTCTATGATTCTAACGGGGACATTGCGAGTCCTCACATTCATCTGTTGGGCCACAACGGAGCTCATTTCCAATGCACCAACCCTTCAACACTCATTTAATCATTGAAGTTGAACACCCCCCTCCACCCCCACCCTCCTCTATATTAAAATTTTCTTGTGAAGAAATATCACAAATATGTTATTTAAAAGCCGCACTGAAACAACTCAATAGCTAATTAACTGAGGGGTTTACACTGTTTGCAAGTGTACTAACTCTCTGTATCACTATCGATGGTCAAGCCTAGTCCCATATTCCCTAACTTATGAAGCTCCCTCCCTCTACCCTCTCTTTCTGTCTTTAAGTCCCACCTCAAATGCTACCCTTAAAGGAACATAGGAATTGCAAGACGATAAAAGGCCAAGTTCCATCAAGTCCACCCTCTACCATCCTGGTCGTCGCATGCTACAATAATGGAGATGTTGATAGTAATTCATTCTGTATGGATTAGTCTGCAACAGAGTGGAAAGCTTTGGGAACCTTAGATCTCTTTGAATGAGGCTATAGCCTCCTCCCTCTCTCTTGCTCACTGTCTGGCCCATCCCTGAGAAGCACATTAACCTAATACAAAGAAAGTTATATAAATGCAAGTTGTTTTCGAATACCAGGGTAGAAACCTGCGGATGTTTTAAGCATTCCCTTGTCGAATACTTAAGACACAACAATTATTGGCGATTCCTTGCCAGTTTTGAGTAAATTGAATATTTCCACCCAAAGAAGGGTCCCAGTGTTTGAGGGGAATAGAACTACGGTTTATATTGAAATTATTTAAGGGAATGAATTCCTTGTGTTGCTTAAGAAATGCTGGGTAACTATCAGCAGGGGGAGCAGCCATCTCCAGTTCCATCCAATTGGTTTCCTACAATTTGCTCATGTTTTGAAATGCAATTTTCTAGCCTTTGTGGTGAATTCTCACTCTTGTATGGGGATCAATATTTGTTTGTTTCCAGGGCTTTATCAACCCTGGTTGAGGAGGGTTGGGGGTTGGAAATGCCAGCTCCTACAGACCTAGAACTAACTCTGTGTGCTATTACCAGGCCTCAGGTCAGGCCTGAGGAATTCAGACTGTGTCGTATATTGGTTTAGTGAGCGCATGTTAAAATTTAATTGACAGCAGTGATGAACCATAAAACAACATTCATTTTACTAAGTGGGAAACCTCAACTGATGGTGGGTTTTACTCCACCATAAAATATTTTTACACAGTCATTTATTGCTGCTCTGGTGCAGGTTAATGTTCAGAAGAAGGCTGTATAATGTTACTTAATATGCCACAAGCCACCAAATGACAGTACACTATATGGACTCCTGGGCCTGGCTTTTATACTGTTACATTACTCCCGCAATAAACCACTTTTACACACAAGTCATATACTGCCACCTGGGTAACAGGTCAATGTTCAAAATCACGCTTTAGAATGTTATTTGTGAAGGGGTGTTTTTTTACGTGAAATTCAATAATGCAAAGGTAGCTGGAGAAGTAACTTAATTGTCTGGGGCTAGACGGCAGCTCATGTTGCCTCTCCATTGCTGTGCTCCACAAACTCATCATAAAAAAATACTTGAAGCTGTGATGGGAGAACGGTAGGGGAGGTCGGGTGTTCTGGAGAGATGAGATCAGATAGGCTGAAGAGCCTTCTTCATCTGAACCAATCTTATGATCTTGTGATCAGGCCTACGCTTTGTGCTCTGAAGATGGGAGGTCGGAGGTAGAGAACACATTGAGACTGAGGTCGATGGAGGGCCACTGAGGCCGAGGTCAGAGGCAGAGATACATTGAGTCTGAGGTAAGAGTTGGAGACTCAAGGAGATTGAGTTCAGAGGATGTGCTGAAACTGGGGAATAGTGATGGATTATTATCTGCCATGAAGATGATGGCGCTCATTCACACCGATCCTCTGGACGTCTAAATACAGTTAGACACTTGTACTGTATACAATTATGTACTTCTGAATACAATTATCATTGTGTTGCAGTTGTCAGGCCATTGCACTGTTGAAAAAAAAAGGGTAAGAGGACTTTGTGAACACCTTGTATCAGAAGATCCATCTCAGAATTAATGGAAGAGAGTTGAGGTTACACTTTTGCAATGGGGAATTACTGGGGGAAATGAAACACAGAAAACTCCAGCACAGAAGGAGGCCATTCTGCCCATTTGGGCCTGTGTCACTGCTACCTGCTTTTTTTTGAAGGTGGCCTTCACCCCTCCCCTTCATACCTCTAGCTACACACCTTTCTGCCCCGTCCTTTAGAACTCCATCCCACAGTCCCTTCAATTCACCCCATCCCTTGCCTCTATCAAGGCCAGTCCCAAATCTGTGCCTTCGGTCACCCTCCTTCCCCTACCCTCCCTGCCCTCCACCTAGAATTTCAGCCCAGACCAACAGGGTTACAAAGAGATGGCCTCTAATTGTGCTCCCAACCCTCAAATATTGGACAGCATTTCATGGAAAGGGTGGTGATAAATTTGGAAGGATGCTGAAGGTATTACAATCCCCAGGACATTTTGAATAATGATAAAGAATCCAGCGAATTTTGCCCATAAGTCAAAGTCTACCGAATGCGCAAAAAAATACCCTGCGCGAATTATCTTTATGAAAACATTATCAAACATATTGTTGCGTGCTGATGAATGTGACTTTTTAATGTCCATTGCTGCTCCCAGCATTTTTCAGAGAAATCTGCACCTGGTCTCTCCCATTATACCACTCATTAGTGTGACGGAATTTCACCCCACAGTCCCTTTGCCTCGCACCGCCCTTTACCTCCTTCAAGGTTCATCTCAAGACCTTCCTCTTCGACTACGCCTTTGGTTACCCTCATAGCCCAATCCTCCCTGCTCTCCACCTCTTCTGATCCCAACCCTTAGCTCGGGTGCAAATCTTTGACTATTGCCTTGAGACGTCCTCCCGACGTGAAAGGCACTATACAAATGTAATTTGTTGTTGTTATGGAAAGAGTATGAGAAGAAGGTCAAGAATATTCCATTAAATCATGTCCCTGAATTGATCTCTGGAAAATAGTATCACATTTTTGACCAAGGATTACACAGAGCGGGTGTTAATTTGAATTCAAACTAATGTGACCTAATGAATTTTAGAATAATCTTCTTTCTAATAATCCTACTAATCCTCAATTAGGAAAATTGGGCAGGTTGGAGCTTTTCTATCTGGTTTCAGACGATTGAGAGGGGACCTGATAGAAGGGTTTAAGTTTATGAAAGGATTTGATAGTGAGTGTTGATACTTATTGGTGTGTTCAAAACAAGAGGGTATAAATGTAAAACAGCCAGTGGTATATCTAATAGGGAGTTTAAGAGGAACTTGAATGTGGAACATACTGCTGAAAGCTACGGTTGACGGATAAAGTATCAACGTATTTAGGAGGAAACTTGATAGATACTCAAGAGAGAAGGCAGTAATAACAACAACAACTTGCATTTATATAGCGCCCCTCACAAATGTTAGTGTCCCAGATCGCTTGACAGTGATGGAGCATTACGCCGAGCCGGGGGTAGGTGACCGTAGGCACGGTTGAAGAGGAAGAGTGTTCCAGAGATTTGGGGAAAGTAGCTGAAACTGGGGCTAAAAATTGTGGAACAGAAGGCACGAGGGACAAGCAGGAGGCCAGAGGCAATGGATATTGCCAGTCAAGCAGAGGCAATGGATATTGGGTTGGGGAGTAAGCAGGTCAGAGAGGGAGGGAGGAACGAAGCGAGCAGGATGGTAGAGGGTAAGGAGGTCGCAGAGGTAGGGGAGGGCTTTGAAGGTGAGGACCAGGATCTTGAGCTGTATCCTCTGTGTGATCGGAAGCCAGTGGAGTCGGGCGAGGATGGGGGTGATAGGCTCACAGAGACTGTTGCGGGAGGGGACATGGGCTGCAGAGTTCTGGATGATCTGCAGCCTGTGGAGGGATTTGCTGGGGAGGCCGACAAGCAAGGAGTTTGCATAGTCAAGCCTGGATGTAATGAAAGTGTATATGAGGTTCGGCGGCCTGCGGTTTGAGACAGTGTGGGAGCCGGGCAATGTTGCGGAGGTGGAGGTAGGCAGAGCGGGTCATGGCACAGATGTATGGTAGAAAGGATAGTTGAAGGTCAAAGAAGACCCCAAGGTTCCAGAATAGCTTAGTAAGGTGGAGGGTGCAACCATGGATGTTTGCCCTCTCTAAGTAATGTTTATGTTCATTATTACTATTACATTAAGTAATGCCTTTTAGGGCTTTACTATATATAAGGAACAGGAACGGTGAATAATTCACTGCAAAAAGAACAGAAAGTAACAAGCAAATTCAGTCGCCTGGATTCCTCCTTTGCCATAGTTTTTGAATCTATTCGTCAAAAGAATCTTTTGGGGAACTCGGGAAGACTAACGGGTCTATTCCTCCCTGGACTTCTGACCAAAAGTCTAAAATTACTGAATTTCTAAAAGAATTAATTGATGAGGAATTTTGGCTTCCTGCAAACCAGAATCACGTCACACCATATGTCAGGAACTCGGATTCGGCGCAATCCACATCTGGAGGATATCGGTCGGGATATCTGAGATTTGTTGTTAAGAAATCTAGCTGGCGATGTTGCATTTCAGACTCCTGTGTTGCTTGTGCAATTATCACGCTTACTCAATCAGTTGGGTTTGAATGCTGGGTTTGGAAGATAAAATGAGTAACGTGCCTGAACACTGGGGAAGGAAAGGGGATAGAGAGTGTGGGCACGGAACCGAGGTAAAGGATAAAGTGGACGCCAAGTGCTCCCTCCTCAGGGAATGGAAGGGGAGTATTGAGATTGGGAAACGTCCACAACAACAACAACAATTTGGATTTATATGGTGCCCTTCACATGGGATAGGGTAGGGGTAGGGTAGGGTCAATGACACTGTGCACCTCCTGGTGGGAGTCGGGTGGATTAAGAGATTTAAAACTATGAGATATGAGAGAACTGGAGTAAAAGTTAATACACAACTTCTTGTCATTAATAAAGCATAACGATTTTGGGGCCTTTTGCTATACTTAACAGAATGCGGCAGGGACCCTGAATAATTTACGAAAAACAGGCAAATGAGAAAATTTAATAAACAAGCAGCTTTGTCTTTTTTCTTTGGGGCGGGTAGGGTGGTGTGGGGGTGTGGGGAGGGGGAGTGGGAGGTTTTAAAATAGCCCTGGGGCCAAATTCAGTCCTCGTACTGAGAAACAGAATGTTCCCTCCGTAGCAAGCAAAAAATAAACCAGCAAAACATAACTATTTTTCATTCTGTCAAAATATATATATATGTATATATATATTATAGGAAGGCACCTGAGAGTTTATGTATTCCCAACTGGACTCCCAACTACTTCAGTTATGTGGAGAGATGAGAGAGGCTGGAATTGTCCTCCTTGGAGCAGAGAAGATTAATGGGAGATTTAATAGAGGTGTTCAAGTTTATAAGGAGAAACTATCCTCTGGCAGGTGGGTTGGTAAACAGAGGTCACAGATTTAAGATATTTGGTAAAAGGTCCAATTTTTTTTTACCCCGAGAGTTGTTATGATCTGGAATGCACTGCCTGAAAGTGTGGTGGAAGCAGATTCAATAGTAGCTTTCAAAGGGGAATTGGATATGTACTTGAAAAGGAAGAATTTTCAGGGCTATGGGGTAAGAGTGGGGGAATGGGACAAGTTGGATAGATCTTTCAAAGAACCGGCACAGGCCCAATGGGCCGAATGACCACCTTCTGTGTTTTATGATTCTATGATCCCATAATTTGAGGCATCCTTGGTTGAAGTTGGGGCAAAGTGAATCACTGTACTTTTCAATTGTACTCCTCTGATAATCTGGTTTCTTGTCATTGGAATAGTTTTCTAAAACACTGGGAGTTTCCCCGTCTTACAAGCCCACCTTCTCTGTGTCCTGGGAGAGAAGTACTTTCTGTTCTCGTGGCCCTAAATCTCTGTCAGTCTCACGAAAGCCTGAGACAGTAGTCAATATCTGCCCCATGTGAAGGGCACTGGGCAGACAAAGGCATTGAAACCCAACCCTCAATGGAGAATTTGCTGAGTTTGGCAGAAGTGGTGAACAGGAGCAGTGATCAATGGGCACTTTATCTCAAGGGTGCATCTAAGTGGGTGTCCGTGGGGAGATTACATTTTGCCTGCAGGATATATGGTTCTCGACATCGACTGCCAGCGTCAACCAGAAGCGGTTGACTTGACATTGAGGTGTTGGTGAAAAATTCCATTGGGCACTGACAGACAACCTTAACCCTGAAAGACAAGAATTTCTCCCGGACCTGAGAGCTCATAGTTGACGTCTTTGCATAGTCTTTGCATAGCAAATAACAAAACGTTGATCTCCAAAGTTAACAGAGAGAGAGATTAGGAAAAGAAAGGATCACAACAAGGCATGATTAAAGTGGGCGATGATCATGTGCGTGGGGTGCAATGGAAATTCTGGAATCCTAGCTGTACATCTGGTCAGCTATGGGTGAACTTGGTGCTCATGGAGGAAACTGAAATATCCTCCCAGAACAGAGCCTACTGGGGTCTAATTTTTGACATTCTTAACTGATTTCTTAATGGTATTGTGCAAATTATCACATTTCTCATCATTTGTGATTTTTTTGACTGATTTCTTAATTGGAAACATGCGCTTGTGGCACTTCCAGAACACCAAAAGTGATAATTTCCTAACCATTGGGACTGTGTTTTAGTAACTGGATGATTACACATTTCTCATTAAAAAATCTGATATGAAATATCACAATTTAGGTCCCAATATTTCCTAGGTGCCCACAACGTCACCATTGGATGTCCTATCTTCTGCTGGATACTGAGCAAGTCTATCTCAGGGACTTCCCGAGGTATCAATGTGACATGTCTCTTCCGAGGGATCAATGTCCAAATTAATAAAATATTTGGGTGACATTTCATGTTCATAAGTTTACTAAGTTCTACTTTCACTGTGATATTTAGGGAATTAATTTATGATATCAATTGCCTTCCACTATCCTGGCAGTCATATGCACATGTCACGTCCCAAACTATATACTGTATCCCAAGCTATTGTATTCCAACAGAAATCTATCTAATTGGTTTTCCAAAGAATCAACACTTTCTGCCGGTGTCTGGGTGTGAGAATCCTTGGTTGGATTAGGTGGATTCAATGTCCAAACTATTCTGCTCGTGAGAAAGTTTCTCCTACCCTTTCCGTTTGCTCATTTGCTAACTATCTTAAATTACTAAGCCTAGAATCACTCCTGAGTAAGAGTGAGAGTGAGAAGAAGCTCCTCTTGATCTGTTCTAAGTCAACCAACGTGGGGCAATAACCCTTTGATAAAGATACATTGGTGGCAAAAGCAGACTTTTCTCTAAGTACATTTTTAAAAGCACATGGAACTAGGACAAGACGGTAAATAAGTAAATCTCTACAAACCGTACATAAGTCAAGATCACCTGTGTTTGGATACATGGGCAGCATTTTAGTGTGGCCAGTTCTATATAAGCTCTTGTTCTGGGATGATCGATGGTGGTGTTCAGGATGATCTTTGAAAGAGCATATCAAAAAATAAAAGAAATGAAAGAATCATCAATACCGAAACAATACCAGGTTATCAGCCATCTCATAGTTTCAGCCCAACTCAATGGTATCACACTTGCCTCAGAAGATTGGAGGGTCAAAGCCCTCATTGGGATTTGAACTCACATAGTCTAAGATGACACTCCAATGCAGTGCTGGGGTTATGCAGCATTGTTGGAAGTGCTGTCCTTTGGATGAAACGTTAAACCGAGATCTCAGGTTGATGTTAAAGATCCCATGGCACTATTCGAAAAGAGAAGGGAGATTCTCCCGGTGTCCTCTCCAACAATCCCCCAAATAAAATTGGATATTCACTTTGTGGCTGTTTGTTTGACACTGCTGTGTGCAAATTGGCTGCCGCATTCGCCCACGAATACATAATAACTCCACTTCACAATAAATCGAGTTTGATTCCCGGGCAGGGCGAAACCTTAGGCAAGTTTCCTTACTCACCTCTGTTTACCTAGCAGTAAGTAGGAACCTGGTTGTTAGTCAATTGGAGGATTGCTTTCTGAGGGTAATAATCCTTACAAAAATAATAATAATTCGGTCACTCAATCCACGACTGTTTTTGGGATGTTGCTGTGCGCAATTGGATGCCGCATTTTGCCACACAAAATATAGCCAATTCACTTTACAATACATTCTGTAAAGCACTTAAAATGTCTCAACGACATGATAAGGCACTTTATCAAATGCAAGGATTATTATTGTTAAATCCTGTGAAGACCTTTGGGATGTCCTCCCGATGTGAAAAGCAGTGATTATTATTATTATTATTACATCCACCCTCCAGACACAGAATGCAAACCATTCAATTTGTCCTCTATACACAGAGTGCAAACCATTCCATTGCTCTCTACACACAAAACGCAAAGCATCCCATTCATCCTCTAAACACAAAACACAAACCATTCTATTCACCCTCTGCACACGTAGGACAAACCCTTTCTCCAGTAAAACAAGCATAGCGATTAGGTTGGGGATGCAGTGCAGTGGAAACGTTCACAGTCAATACTCTGCATGGAGCATTCCATCATGTTCCATGGAGCTGAGGAGGTTCAGAGGTGACACGATGAGGTGTTCAAATTAATGAAAAGGCACCTGAGAATGTAGATAGTGGATAATTCATGCCTCTGATTCAAATCAAGGGGGCATAGAGATCAATTTGGAGCTAGCGTGGTCAGAAGCGAGATCAGGAAACATTTCTTCTCACATAGAGTTTTGAAGATGGGTCATAAAATCCCCCTGAAGGATGCTGAGGTGGGATCAATTAGGACGTTTTAAAGGGAGATAATTACCTGGGAAGTAACTGTAGTAAAGGGTACGGATCAAAGGCAGGGAAATGAGATTAAAACATCGGCAATGATATGACAAACTAGAGGAGCAGCCTTAAACAGGCTGTTCAGCCTTGCTCAGTTGGTAGCACTCTCATCTCTGAGTCAGAAGGTTGTGAGTTCAAGTTTGACTTGTCAGGAAGTTTGAACTCACAAATCTAGGCTGACACTCCAATACAATGCTGGGTTTTCTGCATTGTCGGAGACGCCATCCTTTAGATGAGACATTAAACAGAGATCCCGTCTGCCTATTCAGGTGGACATTAAAGATACCATGACCCTCCTTTAAAAGAGAAGAGAGTTTCTGCCAATGTCCTGGCCAACAAACCCCCAAATAAATTGAATCCCATTTGCCCAATTTATCGCCATATCCTTATTCTCAAGTGTACATCTATCCCTTTTGAACATCTCAAATGACTCAGGTGCTGTGGCCTTCTGGGATAGTGTGTACCACATTTTCACAGCCCCATGTGTGACAAAATGTTTCTGATCTCACTTCTAAACCTTTTAAACTCCAAATGTAAAGGTTACGTGACGTGTGATGTGGTAATACTGAAATTAGCAGGTGACATGTCGCAATTTGCGCTGCTGTTGCCTTTGAGAACAAGATGCAAAAGTGCTTGAGGTTGCAGGAGATGTCAGAGAGGCAAATGTGAGCCAAGGTAGAAACTTGACTGATGTTGGCAGCACTCTCACCTCTGAGACTGAGCTTGTGGGTTCAAGTTCCACATAAAACCTTTCTCAGCATTCAGTCTAGGCCAACACAATAATAATAATCCTTGCATTTGATATAGCGCCTTATCACGTCATTGAGACACCTCAAAGCTCTTCAGAGGATGTATTCTAAAGTGCACTGACTGTGTATTTTGTGGGTAAAATGCGGAGTTTCTCCCACTGTCCTGCCCAGCACAGTGTCTTTTTGAGATGTTCTCCTGCCATAGAAAAGCGCTGAATACCAAGTGCAAGAATTATCATTATTACTATAATTATAACAACCTCCCTGATAAAACTGATCATGGCTGTTTGTGGGACGTTGCAGTGTACAAACTGGTTGCCACAGTTGCCTGTCAAATACACCTTACAGCAAATTCTGTGAAGAGTTTTGATGGTGTGATAACGCTCTATATGAAATACAAGGATTTATTATGCTTATTATCAACAACAACACGCATTTATATAGTGTCCTAGACGCAGGGCAGTGCCTCGGAGTGCTTAATAGTGGTGGAAACGGATGCTGAGCCGGGGGGGTGGAGGTGACCATAAGAACGGTTGAAAAGGAAGGGCTTCAGTCACGACCTGGAAGGCGGCAAGGCGGAGGGATTGAGGGAGAGTTCCAAAGCTTCAGGGCGTTATGACTGAAGGCATAGCCGCCGATGGTGGAGTAGAGGGCACAAGGGACATGCAGGAGGATGGACCCAGCTGAGAGAAGGCAGTGGGGTGGTGGTTGGGGTAGAAAACTGGTCAAAAATGTAGGGGGGTGCCAGGGCATGAAGGGATTTGTTGATGAGTAAGAGGATCTTGAAATCAATCCGTTCTGTGATAGGGAGCCAGTGGGGACTGGCGAGGACTTATATGAAGGGGACAACAAATGCTCAGGATTAGGTCCCACACTTCCCATGCGTTGTGACTGGCTTCTAGTTCTGGATGGTTCAACTCAACACCCCACCAACTCCGCCGTGCTTTAAATTCAGTTTGAGTTCGCTTGTGTCTTTGCACCAGGTCACAGCTCTGCAGTTTGGATCAATGCCAGGACACTTGCGTATTGCACTGAGGAGTCCCTCTGAAGCCACGCTCCATTTACAGAACCAGAGCATTTTACAGCACGGCAAGCTTACTGTGCTATGCCAGCACTCTACTCAGTCTCACTTTTCTGCCCTCCCTCCCCACACACACTCACACACCCCTTTTATATTTTTCCCTTTCAATTATTTGTCCAGTTCCTTTTACACACCATTACATACTATTCATCCACAAAATACATAGTCATTGCGCTTTCCAGTATATTGTGTGAAGCTCTTTGCGACATTCTCCCGACGTGAAAGGCGCTGTATCCAATGTAAGGATTATTATAAAAAAATTGGGGGGCACTCAATCCACGACACTGCTGTGTGAAATTTGGCTGCTGTGTTTCGCCCACAAAGTATACAGTCAATCCACTTTACAATATATCCTGTGAAGCGCTTTGAGACTTCTCCACAACTTGATAGGCGCTATTTCAAATGCAAGGATTATTATCCCTATTATTATTCAACCTATACATTTTTTTTTAACAGGGCATTCCATGTGCAAAAACCCTTCAGGTGTGCGAGGTGAGCGCATGTATGTGTAAAAATTCTCTGAATCATTCCCTTTTTGTTGTCAGAAATGATCTTAACAAAAATGCCCTCTAGTTACCAACCAGGTAGAATTTGACAACCTGCTCTTTTCTTCCTCCTTACCCCCTCCCCCAATCCTCAACCCTTTCCTCAGTAATAAATTATTCCTGTGGACGCTGAACATAAAATTCACAAGCAAAGCAGCTCTCTACAGGCCTGTCCTGATAAGCAAGTCCTTCGTGAATTTCCCCATCTCTTTCTGCAACATTCACTGCTGCGTTCAGACAAAGGCATTCATTCAGCTCATGATCAACTCAGATCTTCAAAGCCGCATGTTGTGTGCCTGCTGATACTGACTGTATCTCCTTAAAGGTGCAGAAGCTCCCTGGAATAATATTTACCATACAGCGCAACACAATTGACACTGACACAACAACAAACAACAACAATTTGCATTTTTTTATAGCGCCTTTCGCATCACGAGGATGATCTGGGATGCTTCCTTATGTGAGGGACGCTATATAATTGCAATCTGTTGTTGGTGATCTCCACAGGACGTTGGAATAAAACGCATCCCTGCAGGAAACATTGTGGAGTGCAGTAGCTTAGTGGTTAGAGCACTCGCCTCGCAAGCAAAACAAAATGTTAGGCAAGTTTGATTACTCCACGCACATCTGTTTACCTAGCAGTAAGTAGGGAACCAAACTTGTTAGTCGATTGGTGGATCGCTTTCCCAGGGGTAATAATCCCGTCAAAATAAAATAAATAGTAGTAATAATTTAGTCACTCAATCTGTGACTGTTTGTGGGACACTGCTGTGTGGAATTGGCTGCCGTGTTCCGCTCACAAGATATACAGTCAACTCACTTTACAGTATATTAATCATAATAATAATCCTTGCGTTTGATATAGAGCTTTTCAAGTCTTCTAGACATCTCAAAGCGCTTCACAGAGTATACGGTAAAGTGAATTGTATATTTGTGGGCAAAATGTGGCAGCCAATTGCACACAGCAGTGTCCCACAAACAGTCGTGGATTTGAGACATATCAAAGATGTGATAAGGCGTTACATCAAATGCAAGGATTATTATATAATAATATTGTTAGATATAATAGTATGTTATAGCCAGTGCTCTAACCACTAACAACAGCAATAACAAATTACAATTGTACAGCGTCTTTCACGTCAGGAGGACGTCCCAAGGCACTGAGACATTATTATTAAACACCGACTGTGCACAGCAAAGAAACGATTTAAATCAACAGACAAGGTGAAGAGCAATATTGCATTAAAGTGAAGCCATGAACTATTTACAATATTCACGACCCTGACAATGTGCCTGCTGTCAGTGAGCTATGCTGTGTGTTTCCATCCTCCTAGCTCCCTGTTTCTGGCTTCTTCTCCATTGTATGCTTCTGTCTTATTGTAACTGATACCGACTTGAGAGGGAAAGAGAGCGACAGGAGCCAAGGGTTGCTGATGGCAAGACGTAATGGAGGAGGATACCGGTATCTGTGGTCTTGCCCCCTCACATCTCATCTCCATCCTCTCTCTCCCCCCTGCCCCCTAATGAAGGCATCTCCCTGTGCAGTCACACTTCCCTGCTCTTTTTTCCTCCTCTCTTGGCGTCTTCAGTGTTAAAGTGCTGCGGAGCAGATGGATCTCCACAGGTGTCAGACACCCGGCTGACCAAGAGAAAATCAAGTGCTCCGTCATGTGTCCCATCGCCTGCCTTTCCTTCTGAGGTTCCTTCACCTGTGGCAACTGAACAGCTGTAAGCACTCGATGCAGAGTTGGACTGTTACATGGTTGTCAGGGCTTTAGGGAGGTGGAGAATGTCAGCCAATCAACGATTTCCTCCCCACTCCAGATCTCCCTCTTCTCTGGGACTCAAGTCTCTCCGGGTCTCGCTCTCTCTCACTGGGTCTCCCTCTCTCCTCTTCATTAAGCACTCAGAGTCACTGCCCTGCGTGAAGGGTGCTACATAAATGCAAGTTCTTGTTGTTGTTCATCTTTCTCTCCATCTTCCTCCTCCTGAGGAATCAAGCTGCTGAAATCTTCCTCCAAATCCTTGCTCACGCTGTTGCTTTTGCTGCTGAGATCCAGGCAGAGAGGGGTGGGAGGTGGGAGGTGTGGGTGTGTGGTGGGGAAAGGTTCAATGCTGGGAATGGTGCGGGGAGGCTGAAAAAGACAAGTGAAAGGCATATCATCATGTTTCATTACCATTGCCGATGTCTGCAATTGCAATTCATTTAGTGCACAGATTTCAGGCTGGATAATAATAATAATAATAAACAGTGGACTAGAAACAGTAGACTATTTATTGCCATCACATCCAGCCCTAAATATAGCTGCATTGTTATGTTGAACAATTTGCAAACATTTTTGATATTGATGTAAAGATGGACTATTACAAACATCAACCAGCAAACTTGACATTGAAAAATAACACCTCAATAATCTGGGACTCCCAAAACATATAGATAGAACAGTAATCTGTAACAAACCCAGACATCATCATGAAGAAACAAATGGATTGTGCATATAGTATTACTGATGTGGCTGTCCCAAGTGATTACAACGTAAAATATAAGGAACTTGACAAGATCAGGCGATATATCAAACTACAAATTGAATGTGGACTTATGTGGCAACGTAAAACATAGCTCCTATAATCATCTGTGGAACTGGGACTGTGATAAGACTATTCAAAATGATTTAACAGAATATCAACCGCCCGCAAAACGTAGGTGTTTCAGGAAGTTCAAATATACTAAGAAAAGTAACAGTGTTATTGGTCTGGCTGACCCATCACTGAAAACTATTTAGAAACTACCACTGCAGAGTGTTTTAACCTGTAATAAAATAATAGTAATATTCCTTGCATTTTGCATTAATAATGATGATAATATTTTATTTGATATGGGGTCTTTCATGTCGTGAGGACTCCTCAAAGCGCTACACAGGATATACTGCAAAGTAGAGTGATTGTGCATTCTGTGGGCAAAACGGGGTAACCAAATGGTGCACAGTGATGTCCCACAAACAGTCATGGAGTGAGTAACCAATTTTATCCGGGGGATTGTAGGCCAGGGCACTGGGAGAAACTCTCTTGTTATTTTGAATAGTGCCATGAGATCTTTAATATCCACTAGAATGTCAGCCTTAGTCAGGAGTTCATTTCTTACATGGTATCTGGTGATCCATAGCTTGAGGACATCTCAGACGCCTCCAGCTCCTCCAGAATGGGCATTAGAGGAACTGCTACCTTCACTGTAGGGCCAGTTGGAGACGCCACCTGCCCCCTCCCCCACGCTGCCTGTATTCATGGGCCGACATCACTCCCTACGCATCACATGCATAGGAAGTGGCATCTGAGGCCACTTCCTATCCAGGAAGTAAACGGGAGTCTGCGCACTATTTGCGCTACAAGCGAAATAATAATAATCCTTGGATTTGATATAGCGCCCTGTCATATCTTGGCAACGTCTCAAAGCGCTTCACAGAATATACCGTAAAGTGTAGTGAAATCACAAATATAAGGTCCCACTGCAACTTTTTGGGTTGGGCTAGAGAGAATTCATAACCGGGTCTAGATTTGACTCTATCTTTTTGAGAGGACGTAACAAGGAAAATATCATTGATTATTTTGCATTGTGTTGGCAGCTCTTATTTTGCGGGACTTGTAGCAAGACGGAGGGAGGTGGGGAGATGCGAGTGGGGGTATTTTAATCCAATGCACAACACACACCACCGTGTTCTGTTCATCTTACCTTTGCACTTGCCTTCTTCTGGCTCCTTGAAAGTCCAGCTGACCTTCCTCCATCGTCAACGCTGGGTAATGATGTCAGGAGGAGACTTCGAGAAGATTCGAGGAGAACATCATGCCAGGGTCGCCTACAATCACCCCTCCCTCCCAGATCTCAGCCTCCTCGACCGGACAAAAATGAAGAGGTTTCTCATCAAGTTGGCTCCGACTTTTTCCTCTTGAAATCAGCAACTGATACTCAACAGAGGTACTCTCACCTCTCACCTCACTGTGACTTGTTCCAATGCTCCCTGAGCCTTGTTCTCTAAGACGGCCATGAGTTCCACCAGCTGATTTTGACCCTCTGCTGGAGACTACGACTCAAAAATACAACTAACAATAATAATAATTATGGCATTTGATATAGCGTCTTACCACATCGTTGAGATATCTCAAAGTGCTTCACAGAATATATTGTGAAGTGGATGAAACGCAGCAACCAATTGCACAGCATAGCAATATCCCAAACAATCATGGATTGAGTAACCAACTTTGTTTTGTGGAGAGATTATCCCCCCCGGAAAGAGATCCACCAAATTGACTAACATATGGGTTCTTACTTACTGCTAGGTAACCAGAGGCGTGTGTGGTAAGGAAACTTGCCTGAGGTATTGCTGCATCCGGGAATCAAAACCCAGGTCATCTTACTTGCCCTGGTTATAACTATGCCCGTGCTTTGTTACATGTGGACAATTTGCGTCCCCTTCCGGGTAATGAGGTTGCCGCAGATGCCGAAGGATTTTCGGCAGGAACCTAAAAGCCGTCCGTGCTTAATACACCAAACTGGCTGACATCCTCTATTCTAATCTTCCAATGGTTTTGGACCAATCTCAATTGGTCCTGTTTTGAAAACTATGCAAAAAACCCCACAATGGAGCCCTCTGAGCCTTTGTCTACCCATGTTCTGAGGAAAGCAAAAGAGATTATAATAAAATAATAATAATAATCGTTACAATTGGCACAGCGCTTTTTCACTTCGGGAGGATGTCTCAGAGCGCGACACAAGATATACTGTAAAGCGTAGTAACTGTGTGAACACGGCAGTCAATTTTACGCACAACAATATCTCACAAAAAGCCATTGAGAGAGTTACCAATTTTATTTGGGGGATTGTTGGCCAGGACACCAGGAGAGAGAAACGCCCTCCTATTTTTAAACATTGCCATGGGATCTTCATCTTGGTTTATCATCTCATCTGAAGGACGGCATCTCTGACAATGCAACACATCCCCAGCGCTGAACCGGAGTGTCAGCCTAGACTATGCGTGTGAGTTTAAAGTCCTTGAATGGGCTTGAATTCACAGTCCCTGGGAGAGAGACCAGCTTCGGGGATGGAAGCTGCCGCAAAGCAAGGCTGCCTCCAAAACTCGGGCTGCCCTGATAGCAAATAAATCGCAAATAGCAATCACTTAGCATATGATTTAGTATAAATTCAGTGCGAATTGAAGTCCCGTGTTATGGTATTGATCCAACAGAGCCTTCGAAGGCTTGAGAGTAGCATTGAAATAGAAAAGAAAGCTTGCTACCTATTCGTATATTTGCTCCATTTAACTCTGAGTACACTTGAGAGCCTTATTAACAAAGTGCCGAACAAGGAGTGCAATCCCTCTTGGGTGACGTTCAGCCAACCAGGCGGAAAACACAGCCCGCGATCCGAATGGTGACTGAGATTTTGAGTTGGTCGGTGTCACATACTGAGTACCATGTTGTCTGTTGCCTGTTGGAACCCCTGTCTGACTGGACCGTAAGACAGCCCAGCCCACCAGCGGCAAGAATAGCGTCTCCTGTCACACTGATACCTCCCTACCACACCTTCCGGCATTCCTCCTTCTCCCCCACCCACCACCCACCCAGCCAAACCACCTGGGTTCCTGTGGGTCTGCCCGACAAACAAGAAGATACCGGGTGGATGGTGGGGGAGGGAGGGAGGGAGGGAGCGAGAGAGGGGGAACGAGATTATTTATGAATCCAGAGAAGATCTAGGGATACACAGATCTCTTTGACATGGAAGGATGAGAGGGTGAGTGGGTGGCTGAAGAATACTGCAGGGAAGAGTGCTTGAAACAGAAAGGCCACAGAAATGTACAGACAATAACCCAGTTGCCTTGCCAAGTCTTTCTCAGACACTTAGCAACCTGCTCTGCATTCCTAATCTTTGCTGCTTTTATCTCAGATTTCCAGGTTTTGCCTTCCTCGCTTACACCCCACCTCCTCACACCCACGCACAAACTCACACACCGCCTCTCCCTCCACTGTCAAATCAATAAGAACGTTTCAACTCTTACCTGATCGGCAGGCAATGTCCACATCTTTCTCAAAGTCTGTCTGTTGAGAAGCAGCAGAAGAAAGGAATCAGTGAAGAAGAACAACAACAACAACAAAAACTTTGGCACAAAAGAACATAGGAACAGAAGTAGGCCATTCAGCACCTCGAGCCCATTCATCCATTCTATTAGATCATGGCAGATTAGCACCTCAACTTCATTAAATAATAATTAAACAATTAAATTCCCCTGTTCTTACAATTGAAAAGAAAGACAGGAAATCGGTTTAACGTCTCATCTCATTTACCCGCCTTTGGCCCATATTCCCTTGATACTCTTACCTAACAAAAATAATAATAACAGTCATTGCTATTAGCACCTCATCACGTCTTTACGACATCTCAAAGCGCTTCACAGAATATACTGTAAAATGAATTGACTGTATATTCTGTTGGTGAGGGTGATAAGGCGTGATATGAAATGTAAGGATCATATTTGAATTACATTGGCTGAAGTGTCTTCTTCCTTCGAAACTTACTTGCGATCTTTGTGAAATAACCTCGAGTTACACAGGCTACGTTGGAATTTCCATTTGTGTTGGATTAATTCAACAAAGGAAGGATCCCATCCCTTCTCTCCCATTCCCATCCCCTGTTCTCGCAAAACAAAATTTGCAGAAATGCTACTTCAGTGAGCGAGTAGGAATTCTGAGGAACAGGCTCTCTGGGTTCACAGTGGCGATTTTTTTCAAGAACAAATTAGGCAGATTTTTGTTAGGAAATAATACCTTGGGATACAGTATATAGTTTGGGACACGACATGTCAGGATGGTGGAAGATGAACTGGATGGATTTTGTTCCTCTTTCGTCTGGCAATTCTTGCCTGATTTGAGGAGGTGTCTCCTCCAGCAATCAGAAGCGACTCCGAATTTATTGAAGGGTGGTGGGGGGGGGAGAGGGTATCTAAATTTAGAGCAAAAGACAATTCCAACTCCTGCATTCCCCCTACTTGCAAAATATTCCAGATTGACTTACATTAAAAATAATAATAGTCCTTGCATTTGATACAGCACCTTATCACATCGTCAAAATATCTCAAAGCGCTTTGAAGTAAGTGAAATATAAAAAGGATTGGATAGTAGAATCTTTACAACTAATAGAAAATCTTTATATATAATATGAAGTGAATCCTTTTATCTATCCAAAATGTGACAAAGAATCTTTTATATATATATTGTAATAATGTGTATGTATTGTGTCCAGTTTCATTTGGCTTTCGTATCGTCCACAAAATACAGTCAATTCACTTTACGGTATATTTTGTGAGGTGCTTTGCAACGTCTCAACGACGTGGTGAGGAGCTATATCAAATGCTTGCATTACTATCAATATTTCTGTGGGTGAATTTACTGAAATGAACATTTGCAATGTTACACTGTGTTACTCTGCCTTGCCCACTCCTCCTATAGGAACTGAATTTGAAAGCTGACCCCTTTTGTTTTGTATATTAACGAGGCTGAGAGAGAGAGAGAGAGAGAGAGAAAATAATCTGAAATCTAAAGCCAAGGCAGATTGCTGAACATGATAAATTGGCTTCAATCGAATCACAGTTCACTATTCCGCTGGCTGTAGAGAGGGGGAAAAAAACTTCTGCAGCTGAAATTGCATTCGTTTGTTATGTGGGTGCAGATGCAGACAAAAATAGCTCTCAACTCTAATTCAGGACCAGTTATAAAGAACGTATGACACTCCATGTACTGTCCATGAATCATCTCTGGCTGAAAGAAATAAATCTCTCCCCCCCCCCACCCAGCCCCCCCACCCCCAGTTGAATACAAAGTAAGAACTTTCAATCAGGTTTATGGGAATCCAAAGTCACATTCTGGGCTGAGCGCAGAGCAGTCTCTCACAGGGCAAGTTTGGTCCTTTCAAAGAGACGGTAAAGCAAAAACAACAACTTGCATTTATACAGCGCCCTTCGTGTGGGGCAGAGTCTTGGAGGGATTAACAGTGGCAGAGTCTGTCCCCGAGCCGGAGGGAATAAGGAGGTGCAGATCAACTCGAGGCTTATGTACTCGCGCCCCCACCCCCCCGCCCCTCACCCGTACAAACAGGTCAACTTTCAGCTTAACAGTTCAGGCTGACGCTCCAGTGCAAGGTCTGGGGAAGGTTTCGTTGTCAGAGACACTGTCCTTTGCAGAGGAGATGTTAAACTCAGCACTAATTCCATTCTGCATAGTGGTGCAAAGCGTTTCTTTTATATGATAGGCCCTGAGTGACTGTAAATCGATGCGACTGTTTGGCCCACAAAATGCTCACAGTCACTCCACTTTACAATATATCCCGCAAAATGCTTTGACACAAGGCACTACATCAACAACAACAACAACCTGCAATTATACAGTGTCTTTCAAGTCAGGAAGATGTCCCAAGGTGCTGGACAATGGGGGGGTTTGCATCCGAGCTGGGAGTTGGGATCCTGAAGGTGGCAAGGGAGGGGGCGAGGCGGAGAGGCTCTGGGATGGAGATCCAGAGAGTGGGGGCAAAAGCTGAAGGCTCCACTGCCAACGGTGGAGTAGGCAGAGCGGGGGACATGGGGCAAGCCAGTGCCCCTGAGTGCAGAGAGCGGACAGGATGGTGACATTTTAATAGGTTGCAGAGGTGGGGTGGAGCAAGACCATGGAGGTCTTTAAGGGTGAGGACGAGAAACTTGGAACTGGATCCTCTGGGGGATGGGGAGCAGTGAAGCCGGGCGAGGATGGGTGTGAATGGAACACAGAGCTGAGTGCGAGATCATTATTATAACAACAATAACTGGATAGTGCCCCACAGGTGGGCAGTATCTCAGAGCAATAAACAGTGGTGGAGCTCAACACCAAACCAGACAGAGAGGGGATGTGGCCAAAGGCACGATCAAATGCAATGTGAAGATGGGCAAGGAGGGGGCGAGGTGGAAAAGGAGCAAAGTGAAGGTGACACTAACCATGATCCGGGCATGTCCGTTCGGAAAGGTACCGGCTGCGTCCCCTGTAATTGGGTCCTGGCAGTTTCTCAGCCTGCATTTAAATGCATCTTGAACCTGTTTAACAGAAACATATCAATCAATCAACTCGAGTCCTTTACTGTAACCAAACCTTAGACTGGAGAAACAGGCTTCACTGGTTCTGTGTTTTTTGGTCAGCCATAAAAACCCATCACTGCGCTCAAGAGAATCCAAACCAAACTGAGAATTCCACATACGTACACCACCTACACATGGGAATTTCCCTGTGTCTGGAATGGAATGTGCACTCTCTCTCCCTGGAAGGATGCATCCTGCTCACCTAATCCTGGAAAGTATTAGCGTAGGTTGGCAAGAGCCAAGGCTCGAGCAGCCCAGAGTGCGCGGATGGGAGTAACTGCTGTAGTCTAACCAGCTAAAACCGCATAGCTTGCCATTGGTATCCCTGTCTATCAAGCATCCCGCTGCTTGTTGAGCAAGGATTACCCAACCCGCTAGGGCTCTGGCTTGAAGGGTTAACGGGAGCCGAGTAGGAAGAATCCCTGCTGCCAGGAACTGGACTACCCTTCCAGGTTGCAAGTGCTTCGAGATGTGATAAGGGCACGATATCAAATGTAATGACTGCGAAACACGCGGAAGGAGCAAGATAATGGGAAATTGCCATTGAATTGAGCACAGGTTCAATAGTTTAAGACTTTGCTGAGAGTCTACCATCGTGTTGAGGTGGGGAGGGAGGGTGGTTGGGAGGATATCCCAAGGCGCTTCAATTAACAGTCCCAGCTTTTGTTTAATAATAGTAAATAATATAATAATCTTTTTAATAATTATATTTGATGTGGTGCCTCTATAACATCTCAAAGCACTTCACTCATCAGTAGTGCGGTGTGCACGATCCCCCCCCCCCCCCCCCCCCCGCCGCTAAAGATAATCCTTGCATTTGATATAGCTCCTTATCACATCGTTGAGATGCCTCAAAGTCCTTCGTAGGATATACTGGAAAGTGAATTGAATGTGTATATTGTGGGCGAAACGCAGCAGACAATTGTCCCACAAACACTCATGGATTGAGTGACCGCATTGTGTCTTATTGGGTGGATTATTACTCCTGAAAAGCGATCCGCCAATCGGCTAACAACCGGGTTCCTACTTACTGCTAGATAAACAGAGGCGTGCGGAGTAAAGAAACTTGCCTAAGGTTTCTCCGCGCCTGGGAATCGAACCCGGATCCTCTCGCTTGAGAGGCGAGTGCTCTAACCACTGCCCTAAGGGACAGCTTCTTCCCCCACCATCTCTCACCTCTCTCCTCAGCACACAGTGCACCATGACAATGACAAAGCCCTGGAGCGAGTCGAAGACGGCGAAGAGGATCTGGAAGAGGATGGAGCGCTTGTCGGTCATGGCCAGGACAGCTGACATCCAGGTCAGGGCGAGCAGAGGCAGCACCACACAGGAACTCCAGAGAGACGCCCTGCACACAAGCACACCCCGGCTGAAATGTTACCAGGAAAAACAGTCGCCCGATTGCACAGTGGACACGGATTTAAAACCAAATTAAATAAAAAACACCCTCTTTGTCGTATAATAACTAGAGATCAGAAGTTTACATTCTTTTTTTACACACAAGAATTAACAGCTTGTGCTCTCCCAATCTTTTAAGCCCCGTATATAAATATAGTTATACAGTAAGTTTTAAAAAATATATATATATTTATATATAAAAACTGACATAATATCTTGTCTAACAACACATCATCGTTTAAAAAAAAATCGCCTTTACAAAGTCCCTCAACTTAAAAGAGATTTCGCCACATACAATACTTAAAAGGAGATAAATTTATTCATGAGTTATAAATGGTCATAGTTAAAAGTAAATTTATTGACTTTTTTTTCCTTTTCTCTCTCTCTCTCTCTCTCTGTCTCGTTCTCTCTCTCTCGGTGCGCTGTCGGCAACCGGTATTTGCCTTCGTTTAATTTCTCTTTCTCTCTCTCGTTTGTTTTTTTCTTTTTTTGTTTGTTGTTTTTTTTAAAAAAAAGTTTTCTAAAATTTTCTTTATTTTTAGTAAGAGAAAAATATATATATGTGTGTGTGTGTGTATAAAAGGTAAATTTGAAATGCTTGAAACTAACATGGCATTACTGGCGGTGGTTGTTGATAAGGCTGTTGTAGAAACAACTCCACACTTGGAACATTTGAGCGTCAGACCGCTATTGGGCTCACTCATCTGACTGGAAACAAATGAAAGTTCACAAAAAAAAGGAAAGAGAGAAGATTGCAGCTTTAAAATAAAAGTGCACACAGCACTCCTCGGGGAGTCCAAAGTAGAATCCGTCCGCGGGCGAGCTCACTGGTTCATCGCAAACCGCACCACACATCAAAGCGGAAGCCATGCAGAGAAGAGAGCGAGTGAGTGAGTGAGTGAGTGAGCGGGTGGCTGGGTGGGTGGGTGTTGGGTGGGTCAGCATTAAGTTTACATGCGTGCAGAAAGCCCTCCAGTGTTATATGGGTGCTGGTCATAGTCGTGGTGGTGGTGGGTGGGTGGGAGAGGGGGAATGGGGTTACGGGTTGGGAACTGGGGTGCATTTTAATGCAGGCGACATTCACTTTAGCTAGGGAGGAACAGCTGGGAGGAAGGGAGGGCAGGAGGGAGTGAGGGAGGGAGGGACGGGAGGGAGGTAGGGAAGGGAGATGTGGTTTTACTCTGCTCCGTTGAGCTGGGCTGATCACTGTTTGACCTCTTTTGACCACGTGTCCTCGCACGTTACCCACACCCGAGGCGACGGCCGGTTTGATTCGGTGACTGAGCTCACGACTCAATTATCGAAGAGGTTGCGGAGTTCACAGAGCGCGTGGCCGATTCTTCACGGGGTTGATGGTGGGAACGTGGAACGACAATGTTTATTTTGCGCCAAGGCAGCGGGGCAAAGAGGGCAGAGATTCAGGGCAATTTCAGGGGCAGACGTCAGGAAATGTGTCTGTCCTCACACGGTAATTAACACCTCAAACACAGTGCAGCCAGCCTGGCTCATCGGCACGACATGGAAGGGCAGATCAGTCACTGGGGGCAGGGAATCCTCCCACTCAGCTCCTGTTAACCCTGCAAGCCAAAGCCCTAAAGGGTAGGGTGGCCCTAACTGAAACATCAGCAAGAAAGTTTGCCAGACAGTGCTCTCAGTGTGGTTTTAGCTGGTTAGACTCCAGCAATTACCCCATTGCACACTTTGAGGTCCCCAAGCCTTGGCTCTTGCCAACCTACGCCTAATAATTTCCTTAATTAGGTAAACAGGATGTGTTCCTCCAGGGAGAGAGTGCACATTCGATTCAAACGATCTATCTCTGGAATTTCCATGTGTAGGTGGGATGCAGGGAATTCTCAGCCTGGTCTGCAGACTCATAAGCACGGTGAAGGGTTTCTGCGGTGTGTCAGACACCCGGCTGACCAAAAAAAAGATAGTGGGGAAGACTGGTTGAGGCTGGGACTCACTTACAAAACAGCTTGTTTGCTGTGATGGGGACGGTAGGGTGGGTACTGTGGAAGGAATAGAACAGATGGGCCAAAGGGCCTTCTTCATTATGGAGTCCTGTAGCTCAGTGGTTAGAGCACTCGCCTCGCAAGCGAGAGACCTGGGTTCGATTCCCGGCAGGGCAAAATGTTGGGCACACGCCTCTGTTTACCTAGCAGTAAGAAGGCACCTGGTTGTTAGTCGATTGGCAAATCGCTTTTCTGGAGATAATAATTCCTTCCAAAAAAAAAATTGGTCACTTCAATCCATGATTGTTTGTGGGACACTGCTGTGCGCAATTGGCTGCTGCGTTTCGCCACAAAATGTACCGTCAATTCGCTTTACAGTATATTCTGTGAAGCATTTCGAGACGTCTAGAAGATGTGATAAGGTGCTATATTAAATACAAGGATTACTATTATTATTATTATTAATTTGAACCTCTGCCATGATCTGTGAAGGGAGTTAATTGCCAAAGTCCGCAGATGCATTTGCTTTACAGGTGAAGCGCACGGAGCAGAATAATCCCGCATCACCCCACCCTTCTCGATGCCATAAACACTACTTGTTTGGAGGAATATTTTACAACCACAGATATTTCAGCATTTACCACCTACCCTCCTCTATGTTTTAGCTTTTTATCTAGGATCCCATCTCTTGACACAAGCTTATTAAAAACTAAAATTCCGATCACCATGTTGACCTGAAAAAAAAAGGGGGGAGTGGGGGGAGAGAGAAGAGTGGGGAGACAAAAAGAACAGGGTTTGTCATGTAAATGCTACGTAAGACAGTACGCTCCCCATTACTAAACAGTCACACCTTTTCACCCTTTTTAATTCAAAGATTGATGCAAAAGTAATCTTTCGTCCTCTGTTACTTTGTATTCAAACCCTAGATTCCTGAAGTGCGTCAGATTGGCACAAACACAACAGTTTTTGGTTGGGTTTATTTATTTTCCCTCTCCCTCCCTCCCTCCCTCCCTCCCTCCCTCTTTCCACTCCTCCATCCCGCCACCACCCACGCCACTTGTCACACTGCCTCCTCTTATCTCCTTGAGGTGCAAACTGCGACTTGTGATAATTATCACGTGGGCCCCAACAGAATGTGGTGGAGGCTCAATGGGCATCGTTGGCTTTGGGAGTGCGCGGGGGGGGTTGGGGGGGGGGAAGGCGGGGTGTGGGGTGGGCGACACCATCTCACGTCTTCAACACAACGGTTGAATCCGAAGTCGGCTCAGAAACTGCCCATTTTGCATTTGGGGGGAAGCTGCCATTTTGTACTTGGGAATCGGACGCCGTTTTGCGCTCCTTTGTTTTAAGTGACCCCGCATTGCCGTCGCTTGTGGAGGTTGCGCTCGCAGTCCTGCTTCGCCAAATAAATCTGACTGCGTGCAAAGCGACACTGATGCTTTGCGCTCCACTCCACATCTGAGGCTTCCCTCCCCGCTCCTCCCACAAAAGATTGTTGATTACAAAGATGGCGGCCGAGCAATTTTTGGGGGCAATGTTTTGTTGCTCCCTCCCTCAGTCCCTCCGCTCCTCTCCCAGAGGCGGCTCCACCTGCTCAACGGCCGCATGTTAAGCAACTGCTGAGCTGCTCTCTGTGCAGTGATCGCAGCCAGAAAGAAGCCACAGTGAGACCTCACAGTGAGCCCAATCCCATTCCCACCCACTCTCTGCTCACACAGACTTCACAGTAAGGTCACAATACTATACAACTTGCATTAGATTACACAGCGCCTTTCACATCGGGAGGACGTCCCAAAGCACTGCTGGCTGGGCACCCGAGCTGGGGTTTGGGAGCAGAGTGGGTAAGGATGGGAGCACTGGTGGGAGGGGACAGGAGACTCCAAAGCACAGTGACAGAGGTAGGCCTTGAGATGTGCCTTAAACGAGGGGAGGGAGGGAGTGTGTCGGAAGGACTCTGAGATGGAGTTCCATAGAGAGGGCGGCGAAATGGTGGACTGGAGCACAGGAGGCAGGCTGTTTTTTGCTAAGCGAAGGGCGCGGCCATCTTGCTTGAAGGAGATCAACAGAGATCAAATGCTGGAGTCTGAGTGAACTTTCCCCATGTCTGGGTTGTGGGCGATTTTGGTAGGGCTGGTATTTATCAGACCTGCTCTGGGACGCTATCCTGCGTGAAAGGCGCCATATAATGGCAAGGTGTTGTTGTTGGTGTCATCAGGTTCCTGGTTGTCCTTAGAAGTTGTTGTTGTTGTTGTTGTTGTTGTTGGTGGTGGTGGTGATGGGATCTTCTCGTTAAACCGCTAACTCCTTGTTCTTAGCTTATTAGGTAATGGTGTCAAAGGATATGGAGCAAAGGCGGGTAATTGGAGTTGAGGTACAAAACAGCCATAATTTAATAGAATGGCAGAACAGGCTCAAGGGGCTGAATGGCCTACTCCTGTTCCTATGTTCTATCTAAAACACAGTAGTATTGGTATTACACTGGTATTACAGGCAATGACTGGCTGCAATAGTGGGGTCGGCCTCACATTAGATTCTCGAATCTCCTCCGCCACATTTCAGTAGTGTCCCTGCGACTCAGTGGAGAGACAGCAACTGGAGCTTAGAGAAATCCCTTTGTGCACAAAAATGCCTCATAGCAATTTCCAGAGACAAAGTGGGAGCCTGAGAAGGGTGGGAGATATTGGAAGTTGGGGGGGGGGGGGGGACTGGGGGGATTGTCATAGGGTGACAGTAGAAGATGTAGTTAAAGAGAAAGGATTTTTTAGACGGGATTTGAAAGCAGCGTTTTCTATTGTTGCTTATTCTAAAGCCGTGTGGGTTGCCTTGGTGAGAGCTGCATCGCACAGAGTCACACAATGTGTCTTGTTCAAAGGTGCTCGGAAGATTAACTCCCTCCTGAAGAATGTATCCTTGTGAAATGTGTTGATCCCAAAGGACAAAGATGTACAGGAAGGAATCCTGTAAAGGGAGGAAGTACAGGGAGGGCTCAGGAGAGGGTCTCTTCATCGCAGGACCTCCATCCAATCAGAAGAGAATCTGCTGAACCCAAAGTCTCCACTGTGAAGGGAATCTTGGTCCAAGTTTCCTGCCAATCCCACTCATTTCTATTCTGGTTCCTTTGGCCAGAGCAGAACTTTCAAGGATGAGATAATTAACACCAAGGTTAACATATCACACTTGGTGATTCTCACCTGACAGCAACAGTGTCAGGCAGGAGGATGCCATTGGTTCTATCCATTACCAGAGATCTTCAGCAAACCCATCTTCACCAGGTTTCCATGAGTGATTAGAATTGTGAATTACACATCTAGCATCAAAAAATGCTGTCAGCTTGGCTCAGTTGGTAGCGCTCGCGCCTCTGATTGAGAAGATTGTAGGTTCTAGCCCCTCGTCGAAGTCTTTGAACTCACATAGATTAAGCTGACAATCCAATACAGTGGTGGGGTTGTGCTCCATTGTTGGATGCAATGTCATTCAAATGAGACCTTAAATCAAGGTCCCGTCTGCCTGTTTGTTAAAGGTGTTTGTTAAAGATCCCGTGGCACTACTCGAAAAGAGCAGGGAGCTTCTCCAGGTGTCCTGGCCAACAATCCCGTAGATAAAATTGGTTATTTACTTTATGGTTGTTTGTGAGACATTGCTTTCACATTTGCCCATAAGTAACCCTTAAGAAACACTTTGAGATGTCCTCCCGATGAGAAAGGCGCTATACCAAATGCACGGATTTATTGACAAAAATCACATTAAATAAAACACACTTCATCCCTCAAGACATCCTTATATTAGGGACACAATTTATAAGATACTTTTACTCATTCAGTAACAGAATATATGTTCGACACTGCGGAGCAGAATCCCGCGTATCCATACACTGATTATATGCGTATCTCTCTATCCAATTAAGCAATTTTATTCGGTTGTGTGTGTGTGAGTGTGGCTTCCGGGATTGTGATTTTAACGGAATGGGACTGAACTGACAGTGCGAGGTAACTACAGGATCCAATTAATTACAGACACACAGACTGCGAGAGAGGCAGAGCGAGAGAGAAAGGAAAGAGAGAGGAGAAAAAGGGAGAATCCCAACTGACACACATATACAGATTTGAGAGAGGCACGGAGAGAGAGAGAGTCAGAGGGAGAGATAGAGAGACAGATACACACCCACATACAGATTATTAAAAGAATCAGGGAGTGAGACATACAGGCGCACACACACACACACATATTTAAGAAAAATAGACAGAGAAAGAGGTATACAGATAGAAACAGAGAAAGAGAGACACACAAACACAAAAGCAGTAGAGAGAGAGTATCACAGACATATACACATAGACACACAGACAATCACAGTCCGGTTATCCACACTGTACTCATATCTGCAATGGGGCAGGTGTCAATTAAGCATGGCCATCGGGCTCTCGCTGGATTTAATGACAAGTGCGGGTTGTGTACAGAGTGTTTTCACTTGAAGCATTTACCAGAACAACAGCAGCTGCAGGTCCCACAAAGGCGTACAACAGACCTCCCTCCAGAGACAGCCAGCAGCTGTGAAAGAACACAACAACAAACAAGCCACACATCAGAATTAGATACCTTGCAATGCATTAACAGTCTGTGGACACACCAGAGAACGGACTGACTCGCTGTGTGAAGTTCAGGTACCGAGGGAGGCTACGTGCGATGTAGACACGTTTAAAATCAGTGGTCTCTGGAGCTCTCAAGCTCCCAAGCTGGTCTTGCACTTTATCTGAGATCCCAAAGACCAATCTAACATCCCGTCCTCCACACCAGACGTCAATGTCAAAGAGACGCCTCTGGACACAAAATCAATTATGAATCATCCCCTCACAGTATCATGCACATCACAGCGTGGGTGGATATCAATTCCCCCACCCAGCCTAACCTGCTGTTCGCTCCTCCACTGAGAGCTAACCTCTCTCATCCCAACTTCCCGTGCCCTTTGAGGTGTCGTCCTTCAAGTGAGACGTTAAACTGCGGTCTCGTCTGCTCTGTTAAGGTATACGTTAAAGATCCCGTGGCACTACTCGAAAGGAGAAGGGAATTTCGCCAGGTGTCCTGGTCGACAATCCCCCCACCGATAAAACTAGTTCAATTTGTGGCTGTTTGTGGGACACTGCTGCATATAAAATGGCTGCCCCATTTCCCTGCAAAATACACAGTCACTCCAGTAAATGCTGTGAAGTGTTTTGAGATGTCCTGACGTGAAAGGTGCTTGGTTAAATGCAAGGACTATTATCAGTTGTATTATTATGGTACATAACTTCAGTGGAGGAGCTAGCACAGCAAAAAAGCACAACTTCATAATAATAATACTTGGATTTGATATACAATAATAATAATCATTATAATATTAGAATAATAATTGCAGCTAATTTGCACATAGCAATGTCCCACAAACTGCCATGAAGTGAGCGATCAATTTTATTTATTAATAATAATAATCCTTGCATTCGCTTTAGTGCCCTTATAACATCATCAAGATATCTCAAAGCATTTCACAGGATATTCTGTGAAGTGGATCGACGGTGTATTTTGTGAGCAAAACGCGGCAGCCAATTGCACCCAGAAATGTCCCACAAACAGCCATGAAGTGAGTGATCAACTTTACTTGGGGGATTGTTGGCCAGGACACCGGGAGAGAGAAACTCCCTTCTCTTTTCGAATAGAGCTGTAAAATCTTTAACATCCACCTGAACAGGGAGACAGGACCTCGGTTTAACGTCTCATCCAAAGTACGGCACCTCCGACAATGCAACAGCCCCCCAGCACTGCATCGGAGTTCCAGTTGGCCGGGAGACCGGGAGAAACTATGATTTTTGTATCACAGACACGCTGCACTCCTCTCAAACTAGACTTGCTTGAGGTTCTGAATTGTTGAAGGTGATAATGAACAATGCAGCACATTTTAGGGCTGAACTGGCAGCTGCGAGTTAATTAAGACACGAGACGAGAATGAAAAGCTTTCATTAATTAGACGTTCCTGGTCCTGGAAAAAAAAGCACCTGCTGGGTTTTTCCCTAAAGCTGCTAAAAAAAAACCCCAGCTGGATGCTGTAATGGGAGGAAGGTCGGGTTGGTATTCTGGAAGGTTGAGATCAGTGGGGCTGAAGCTCTATGTGATGCTCGGTTGGCAGCAGAAAGTTGTGAGTTCAAGTCAGGAGGTTGCGGGTTCAAGCCCTCACGTCGGGACTTTCAGCTCACAGTCTAAGCTGACGCTCCAATGCAGTGTGATGCTATGTTGGGAGGACGGTAGGCATGAGATCAGATGGGCTGATGGGCCTTCTCCAACGGAACTAAGAGAAGGGAGTTTGTCCTGGTATCCGAACCAATAATCCCCCAAAATAGCCAATCCACCACTGTTTGTGGGACACTGCTGTGAGCAAATTGGCTGCTACGTTTCGTCCACAAAATACACATTCAATCTATTTTACAGTGTATCCTGTGAAGCGCTTTGAGACGGCTTGACGATGTGATAATGGCGCTATATCAAATGCAAGGATTATTATTATACATTATAATCTTATGGTCTGATATCATGTGTATGAGGCAGAATAATGAATAATAAATAATAATAATCCTTGCATTTGGTATAGTGCCATATACCATGGGTGTGAGATCTTCACACTTGTTTTCAAATCCATTCACTCCCTGGCACTTCCCTACCTCTCTGACCTCATCCCTCCCCAATCCACCACCCGGTGCCTCTTCTCGACTGGCACCGGCCTCCTGCTTGTCTTTTCCGCCCTCCGCTCCACCATTGGAGATTCCACAATCAGCCACTACTCCCCGAAACTTTGGAACACTCTCCCTCAATCCCTCACCCTTGCCCCCTCTCTCCCCTATTTCAAGTCCCACCTGAAAATCTTCCTTTTCAAACCGTGCTTACGGGCACTCCCCACCCCCGGCTCGGATTCAGTCTCCGTCACTGTTAAGTGCTCTGAGACGCTACTACCCTGCCTGGACGGCGCTACGTACGTGCAAATTGTTGTTGTTATCACCTCGTTTAGACATATCCAAGTGCTTACCGAATGGACTGTAAAGTGAATTTGTGGACGAAACTCAGCAGCCAATTGCGCACAGCAGTGTCCCACAAATAGTCGTGGATTGAATGACCAAATTATTATTGTCTTTGAAGGGATTATTATCCCCGGAAATCAATTCGCTAATCGACTAACAACCAGGTTCTTACTTACTGCTGGTAAACAGAGGCGTGTGGAGTAAGGAAACTTGCCTAAGGTTTCACCTTGCCCGGGAATCAAACTCGGGTTCTCTTACTTGCCAGATGAGTGCTCTAACTGATGCGCTATGCTATTAATTTAATGATGATCTTATATTTTACGTCTAAGCTGTCTGACTAAGTGGAATACTGTAGTGCAATTATAATAAATATAATTTTTTAGAACAATTTTTAAAACACTCAATCCGGGAATTTTCGAGCGCTCTGGGATGCTATCCCACGTGAAGGCTGCTATATAAATGCAAGTTGTTGTTGTTGCTAGTGGGACACTCCTGTGCTGAATTGGCTGCCGTGTTTTGCCCACAGAATATAGTCAATTCAGTTTACAGTATGCCTGTGAAGCGCTTTGAGACGTCTCAACACTGTGATAAGGTGCTATATCAAAGGCAAGTATTATTATTATTATTATTATGACAATACGGCATCATCTTTTGAGCCTTTGAAACTGCCGAGAGACTGGACGGTGCGAGCTATTTTACTCAAGGTGTCACGTACTGCTCTGTGCTCGCCCAACACTGAAGCTCTGAAGGTCAGATGTTTCTTGTTGCTAATCAGGACCAGAAAGGGCTGATGTGCTCTGTTTCCCAATGTCTGCTGTCTGATAAGATCCTGTAACTGAGAGTGGCTGCAAGCCTCCTTATTGACCAAGCAGAGCAGAAATGTCAGCACCTCGTGGCTTTACTGAAGAAAAATACTAAATTGGAAATAATTTCCAATCAGGCAGGAATCATTACAGCCTTACAGCCCGTGTCTCCACACCAAGCTCCGCAAGCCTATCATCCTCATCGTTGTCTGGCTCCATTGGCTCCCCAACCCCCATGGATTGAGTCAAGATCCTCATTTTCACTCTTAAGTGTCAGATCCCAACCTTTGCGACCTCCTCAAACTCTATTAACTGGGCCACTACCTTTGCTCAGCAGACCAGCCTGTTTCATGTCCCCAGCCCTACCTACCAAACCAACGGCAAGTGGGCTTTCAGCCTATCTGCTCCCACTCTCTCTGGAACTCTATATCAGAGTTCCTCTGACTCCCTCCCTCCTTCTCTCTCTCTTCAACTCATTCAAGATCCATCTCAAGATCTACCTTTTTGATCACGTTTTCGGTAACCTTTCTCCTCCCCACCTCCCTCAGCTACCACCCCCAACTCGGGTGCCAAGCCAGGACTGTCAAGCACTTTGAGACATACTCCTGACTTGAAAAGCAATACAATATAACTGTAAATCCGTATAGTATTGTTGTGTAGATACATGGACATGAAGAGGTGGGATAAGACAGACGCCCATCAATAAGTTACAGGGGAATGACGTTAAACATCCAAGGCACCATACAAAAAGAGAAAGGAGTTTCTCCTGGATGCTTTGGCCAATCAACCCAGATAAATATGGTCAATCACATGTGAGACATTTTTGTGCACAAATTGGTTATGCATCTACCTTCCAGATACACAATCACTGCTCTTTACAGTAAAATCCTGTGAAGCACTTTGAGATGTCTTGTTGATGTGATAAGGTGCTATAACAAACGCAAGGATTATTATTATTTTTATTATTATTATGTTATCGAAATTTAGATCTTTTTGTAGAGGTAGAACTAAATGTTTTTCAGTATTGGGTCAGCCAGACCAGTAACACTGCCACTATACACTTGAATGGATGTTACTTCTCTTAGTATATTTGAACTTCCCCAAATAACTACTCTTCTTTCTGCAGGAGGTGGACATTTCGTGCAGCGGGAACTTTGTCAAGCCATTTCTGAATTTCCTTATTAACAGTCCCAGTTTCACCAATGATTATAGGAAGTCTGCTCGTCTTGAACTGCCACAATTTGTAGGTCAACACACTTCCTGATCTTCTCTAGTTCCTTATTTCTTATGTTGTAGGCACTTGTAATGGCTGCCTCTATGTTATTGCATTTACAATCTAATTTTTTTTTAATGATATGCAGTTTATTACAGATAAAAACTATTTAACTGTAAGTAGGAAGCTATCAGTAAGTAGGAATCCGGTTGTTAGTCGATTAGCAGATCGCTTTCCGGGGGTAATAACTGCTCCAAAATAAGAAATAATTGGTCACTCAATCCATAACTGTTCGCAATTGGCTGCCGCGTTTCACCAACAAAATACACAGTCAATCCACTTTAAAGTATGTTCTGTGAAGCGCTTTGAGACTTCTAAAATATGTGAAAAAGCGCTATATGTCTATACATATGTCTATAAGCGCTATATATAAAAAAAATGAAAAAAAAGCTCAATGTTTCGATAAGAAGCTATATCAAATGTAAAGATTACTATTATTATAATAATAATAATGTGCAGTTTTTTTAAGTGACTTACTAGCTCGGTGTCCCATATCCTTTTGCCTTTGTAAATCCCATTGAAATCGCCACCACCAGAGCTGGCAAACCTGATGAAACAAATTACATCTGATAAGAAAACTGCATCACTGCACATTTGAGCACTTGAGAAATTATCAGTTTTATTTTGCTGCGTGGACGGAAATAAAAACCACACACACATCAATTCAACACTCCCGCGGCATTAACTTATATGAGAGAAAATACTTAATGAGGGAGGAAGTGAATTTTTCTGTAAACACTTCCAGAGTTTGTTTCTCATGAAACATTACAAAAAATATCCTGCCAGAGAAGGAAAACAAAACACAGAGTAATTGACGTCTCAGGTTGCAAGCGCTCCAAGATTCTACTCGTGTCAAAAGCGCTATATAAATGCAAGTTGTTGTTGAGTCAAAAAAACACCCGCAGGTGTAAAATGATGCTCAAGGTTGCTAGTTAAGAAAATAAGAGCATGAGAATTTGCTAGGCGAAAGAAGGCCAAGATCCAACCAATTGGCTTACCACCACATTGCACAAGTCATGTCCCAAACTGTATGTTGTATCCTGAGAAATTCATTTCTAACAGAAATCTATCTGATTTTTCTTGAAACAAATTTCTTGAAACAAACGACACGCTCTGCTTCTGCCGCCTCCCTCGAGAATCTGCTCCATTTGTTTACTGCTCGCTCGCTGAAGTAGTAGCGTCTCCACAGATTTGTTCTGAATTTACCCCAACTTCAATCACAGTCTGTGTCCTCCTCCAGTTTACTCAAAGGTTTTAAGAATTTGCTTTTATAAAATCATAGAATCATAGACATTTGCAGCGCAGAAGGCGGCAATTCAACTCATCGAGTCTGCACCGGCTCTCAGAACAAGCTGGTCGTTCAATCCCACTGCCCTGCCTAATCCCTATGCCTCTTCAAGCCTCTATCGTTTATATACCGGTCTGCTTCTCTCTTGAGTCACAATGTCCAAATCTACCACCTTACTTGGCAGGGCATTCCACATCCCAACAACTGTCTGAGTGTCAAAAAAAGACTCCCATCTTTCCTTTCGCTCTTCTTGGGACTACTTTATATCCTGTTTTTTCAGTCACTAACTCCCCTACCAGTGGAAATAGCTTCTCCCTATTTACTCTGTCAAAAGCCCTCACCATTTTGTACACCTCAATCAGGGCCCCCTCAATTTTTTCTACTCCAATGAATTAAGGTACCTCGGCCAAGGATCCCTCAGGTAAAACTGGTGATTCATTTCATGGCTCTTTGTGTAACATGGCTGAATGTAAAGTGGCTGTTTCATTTGTCAACAAAATACAGTCACTGCACTTTACAGCAAATAATCCTGTGAAGCACTTTGAGATGTCCTCCCTATGTTAAATTCAAGGATGATTATCATTATAATAATTCTAGATGCAAGTGTAAAGAAGCTTTATACTGATGCTGACCAGGCCTATGTTCATTTCCTCTTGCCCTCTTCTCCCTCACTTGGTGCCTGATGTCAAACCCTGGCACCTCCATACCTACCTGTCCAACCGGCTTGCTCCCCACTCCACCACCCGCCACCTCCGCTCGGCTGGCTCTAGCTTCCTGCTTGTCCCTCGTCCTCTCCGCTCCACCATGGGCGGCCGTGCCTTCAGCTACACCCCCCCAAACTTTGGAACTCTCTCCGTCAATCCCTCCACTTTTCCACCTCCATCCCCATTTTCAGGTCGCGCCTTCGAGCGTGCTTATGGTCAATTCTCCCCTCCCACTGGCTCGCCTTAAGGCTCAACCACTGTTCAGCGCTCTGAGATGCTACCCTGCGTGAAGGTGCTATAAATTGTTATTGACTTCACAATTGTGTGGACTCATAGACCCTATCCTGTGTGATGGGAGCTATATAAACGCAAGTTGTTGGCTGTTGTTTACAGACCGGATTTCTCCTCACCCCATCGCTGCACAATATGGGCTGCTGCATTTCACCCACAAAATATACAGTCAATCCACTTTACAGTATAACCTGTTAAGCGCTTTGAGACATCCCAAAGACATGATATCAAATGCAAGGTTTATTATTATTATTTATGCACTGATGTTTCTTACCCCATCCAAGGCACAAAAAGCGTTTGCGGATCAGCCTTGTTCTGATCTTCCCTGTAACTGCCATGTACGATTGCCAAGCTTCGGTCAGAACCCAACAGAAAGAAGCCAGGAAGAAGAAGTGCAGAAATGCTGTCGTCATTGTGCAAACCCCCTACAGGTAGGAAGAAAAAGAGAGAACATTTAGCCAGGATTACTGCCTACAACAAAGCAACAAATTACATTTGTATGTCGCCTGTCACATTGGGAGGACGTCCCAAAGTGTTGGGATTTGTCTAGGGATACTTATCAAAGAAAATACAACACACTTTGAAGCCCAGGAGTTGATCAGAAGAGTAGAAGGTTGGTTTGGTTAAAGAAGGCCTTTTGGCTCATCTGATCCCATTCCTTCAGAACACTCATCCTACTGTCCCCCCATCTCTTAAGATAAGATGCTTATTAAATGATTTTCAGTGTCTTGGCCTCAACCACACTCCCTGATAACCTGTTCCAGTCATTGATTATCCTCCGCGTAAAGAAAACTTACTGGTATCTGCCTGAAATTGGCCTCCAAACCCTTTTCTCCACTGCTTTGTTGCATTCATATAACCATATAAATTTACAGCACAGAAGAATTCCATTAGGTTCATCTTGTCTGCGCCGCCTCTTTTAAAGAGCAATGTTTTCAATCCCATTTACCTGCCATGTAGTTTACTTCTTTTGAGATATCTATCTAGTTTCCTTTCGAAAGCTAATATGGGTTTTGCCTCAACCACCACTCATGGCGGGGTGTTTCATATCCGAACCACTCTCAGTGTGAAAAAAAATCTAATCTCCCTATTTGCTCATTTGTTAACTATTGATACCTTTTGTCACTGACTCACCGACTCATGTGTTTGTCCTGGGTTAGAGATGCTCAGTGGGACAGACCCCTGGCCAACTCAATGTGACTTTTTTCTTTGGTTGTCAGCCTAGCTCAGTTGGTAGCACTCTCACCTCTTGAGTCAGAGTATACTTTTACTGGAAAGTGAATTGACTGTATATTTGTGGGTGAAACACAGCAGCTATTTTGCAGGACATTTTGTGCACAGCTATGTCCCATAAACAGTCGTGGATTGAGTGACCAAATTGTTTTTTAAATATTTTTTTCAAGGGATTATTACCCACATAAAGTGATCTGCCAATCAACAGGCAAGCAGAGTGTGGAGTAAGGAAACTTCCCTAAGGTTTCGCCCCACCTGGGAATCGAACCTGGGTCCATCCTTGTGAGGTGAGTGCTCTAACCACTATGCTACAGGACTCCACACAATAGGTTGTGTAAGAAGTGACAAGTACATTAACAGAAAGAGGTGTTAAAAGGGGAGGGTAGAGAAGGGATTCCATTGATAGCTACGACAGGTGTGACAGCCGTAAAGTATAAGGGCGTAGGCAGCAATATTCAAGGAATATTTTGCTGCAGTCTTCACAGTGGAGAAGGAGGATGAGATGACAGAAGATCAGGGAAATCAGGAACTTATTATATTTGACTATAAACAGAAAAATAATAATGATCTAAACAAATAAACACAGGCCTGGGAGAATCAACCTTGGTTTGTGATGATAGATGAAGTCTCACAAACCTAATAGAGCTCCTTGGCAAAACCACAGAGGTGATAGATAAACGAGTTGTCATTTATATGGATTTTCAGAAAGCATTCAATGAAATGTCACATTACAGATTATTAGCTGAAATTAAGGCATGTGGAGTTGGAAGGCAATATTATGTCACGGACAGGAAATTGGTTGGGAGACAGGAGGCAGAGAGTTGGTGTTAAAGAGAACGTTCTCTGTGTCCGCAGTGATAGTTTAATGATGTGAGCACAGGAAGAGAGGGGACACTAGGAGGTGCTGTAAATCGTCAAGGAATTTAGGAATATTGCAAAGGCACAGACAGATTAAGACAGGGCAGAACTAGGACAGATGAGGCTTCATACTGAAAAGTGTGAGGTCATACACTTGGGATATTATAATAATAATCCTTGGGTTTGATATAGTGCCTTATTAAGTCTTCCAGACGCCTCAAAGCTCTTCACAGAATTTGCCCACAAAATGTGGCAGCCAATTGCGAGCAGAAAGTGTCCCCACAAACAGTTGTGGATTGAGACCTTTACATCTCCAAAGGATAGTGGTTGGGAATACAGTATGTGCTGAATGGGTAAGGTAGATGACCAGAGAGATCTGGGGGAAAGAAAGATCTATCAAGTCCACAGATCATGAAACATCTAGTTCGAAGGTGCAGAAACACATCAGTAAGGCAAATGGGACACAGGCCTTTATTACAAGAGGTCTGGTATATAAAAGCAAGGAGAAGGTTCTCCAGTTACATAGAGAGTTGGTATGACCTCATTTGGAGTACGTACAGTTTCAGACTCAGAACTGAGGAAGGCTTTGCTAGGCTTAGGATGGTGTCTGGTCACCATATACTAGATCAGCGATGACCAACTCGCGGCCAGCAATGCAGCACTGGCTGCCGTGTTTTGCCTACAAAATAATCCCTTAAAAAAAATGATAATAATTTGGTCACTCAATCCATAACTGTTTGTGGAACATTGCTCTCCGCAATTGGATGTCACGTTTCACCCACAAACTATACAGTCAATCCACCTAACAGTATATCCTGTGTTGCACATTGAGATGTCTCGACGATATGAGGCGCTATATCAAATGCAAGGATTGTTATTATCAATAACAAAAAGCGAGCACGCTGTGAAATCCAGCAGAGTTCAGCTTCAGAGCAGTTTGTGTCTCCTTTTCAACAAATCCTTGCACAAGACCAGGCAACAATAATTGAATAAAAGGAAATGGAAAATTAATTGAACAATAAAGAACTTGCATGTCAAAAGGCCACAAATGAAGGGAAAGCTTCGCATTACATTTCCGATGCTATCGATGCATTCTCAACGTAGTTGAGCTAATACTGTAAAGTGGTTTGATTCTATATTTCAGCCATAAAACGCACAATCACACCACTTTACGTGATATCACGTGAAGCGCTTCTCGAGCTCTTGACAACGTGATCAAGTGCTGTATTGAATGCAAGAATCTTTTATTATAATAATAAATCTTTGCTCCGTTTCCCATTGATTAAGCAGATTAATGTTTAAACTTAAATGGTTCTTCTTCCTCCGTCTGCCCCACTGGGCGGATCAATTTGACAAAAACGGCCGATGCACATGGCTGAGTGGACAATTCATTCACAGTCACTGACATGGTGGTTTTGCCAATGCTGAGCTTCAGCTGCTTATACACAATATAGAGAGATTTACAACCTCGCACCCTGACTGAGCACTGGAATAATAATGTTGACTGCTCATATTCTGAACGCAAGTCAGCCTGGTTCAGTTGGTAGCACTCTCACTACCGAGTCAGGAGGTTGTGGGTTCAAGCCCCACATCGGGACTTGGAACCCATATAGTCTGAGCTAGCACTCCAATGCAGTGCTGGGGGTGTGCTGCACTGTTCGAGGTGCTGTCCTTTGGATCATGTGGAGTCCCATAGCGAAAGAACATAAGAAATGCTAGATGAAAAAAGACCAAGGCCAATCTAACCTCTTTAACCCATCCTCCTGTGTCCTCTAACCCATTTTCTCCTCTGTCTTCCTTGTCCTGCCTCCCCCCTCTCTGTTAGCCCTTAAAAGCCTCTCCCTCCCAACATACCCCAGTTCTGACGAAGGGTCGTGGACCCGAAACGTTGACTCACTTTCCTTTCTCCATAGATGCTCCTGACCTGCTGAGTGTTCGCAGCGATTTCTGTTTTGTTTTCAGATTTCCAGCATCTGCAGTATTTTGTGTTTTGTCCCCAGGGAGCCTGTTCCACAGAGTAGTTAGCACTCTTGTGTCGCCAGCGAGAGGATCTGGATTCAATTCCCGGCAGGGCGAAACTTTAGGCAAGTTTGCTTACTCCACATGCCTCTGATTACCTAGCAGTAAGTAGGAACTGATAGTCGATTGACAGATCCACTCAATCCACGACTGTTTGTGGGAAACTCCTGTGTACAATTGACTGCCGATTTTTGCCAACAAAATGATATAGCACCTCATCATGCCATTGAGACGTCTGAAAGCGCTTCACAGAATATATCGTGAAGCGAATTGACTGTGTTTTGTGGGGGAAACGTGGCAGCCAATTGCACACAGAAGTGTCCCACAAACAGTCGTGGATTGAGTGACCAAACTAGTATTTTATTAATGAATTATTACCCCCAGAAAGCGATCCACCAATCAACTAACACCCGGTTCCTACTTATGAGGTAAACAGAGGTGTGTGGAGTAAGGCGACTTGCCTAAGGTTTTGCCCTGGCCGGGAATCGAACCTGGGTCCTCTCACTTGCGAGGCACGTGCTCTAACCACTGCGCTACAGGACTCCACTTAAAAGTGGCTTTCTTCTGCGCTGTAAATTTCCTTGGTTTTACGGTTCGTGAACAATTGAGTAGAATGCCGGCAGTCTTGTTCTTAACATGTTTATAGAAAGCAATCGCAGCGTAACGGAAAGATTGCTGGCGCTAGCGATCTGCCCGGGTTGGAAACTCAATTACTTAAAACCACTAAAGGAATACACAATTAAATACAAGGCATGGTTGAGAGCCAGCCGTGTTGTTGCTTTTGTTCTGCAATTTCTTCCGCCGCTGAATTGTTTGATCGCTGCGCGGTTGTTGACCACTGCTGTGACTGAGTGAGACAGGACGGCCTTGGAGGTTCAATCATTCTCCATGTAAGCATGCATGGATGATCCAATCAGTGTCTCACCAGATAATGGCATCAAAGTGGACTCAAACACTCCTGCGAGGTGTACAATTTCTCCGCATAACCCTTTGTGTGACGGCCAGACAAATAGGAACGTAGATAACAGTCCCTTTTAGCCAGTTTATTTGGCAGATCTTTTAATCCCACTTCCTTGCCTGTTCCCCTCCACATTCCTCAAAGCTCCTTTTCCTCCCAAAGTATGTACACGATACCTACATATGGAAAAANTTAGTCAACCCCAGGGGTCTAGGGAAAGGGCAGGTAAATGGAACTGAAAGGATTGCTCTTCAAGGAGCTGGAACAGACACAATGGCCCAAGTTTCTACGTTTCTCTTCTCTCCTCTATAGTGTTAACCCTGCTCCGTTGTGGTACATTGTGTTTGTTATCTTTCT